ACACAGAGTGGAACTGCACATTTTTTGTGGGTGTAAACCTAGTACAGCATTGCAGAATTAAAGTTACACCGAAGTCAGTGAGAATAGAAACCACTAAGTTAGATTTGTTTAAGACAACAATCTCTTGGCTACAGAAATGCAGAGCAAATAATTATCATGGAGACAAGCAGAAGGAATTATCTGTGAAACATATGGACTAACCTCGTCAAGAACACCATTGAAAGCTATTTGATTAATGCGATGTTTTCCGTGAAATCCCTCCGTGAAGAATTTTGTATTCTCTCTCCTGAAGTCATTTTACAAGCTGAAGTCCCACTCTCATTGCTGTGATAGTGATAGGATAAGGAACATATTTAAAGAAAATAAATTTTTGAGCAGGTGAAGACTACTGTCCTGAATTAGACCCATATGCTTTCTTGTTTTTAAGTACCCTGTAATCCGAAATGCCTTTTTTTGTCTGGAGACTGCATCTGAGAAGGGTATCGGTGAAGTTTACACTCAGGCACTTGTGGCCTATGCTTTCTGCTTAGCTGGCAAGGCAGAAAAATGTGAATCACTCCTTGAAGAGTTACAGAAATCAGCAAAGGAAGTTGGTGAGTTTCAGTCATTTGGGGAATTTGGGAAGTGGGAAGATGGAACAGATCTTACAGATGGTCTAACTTTGACACTACTGAGAGTGTGGGCACATGAACCAAACTGCACAAATAATCTGTGGAGTTAACCTGCAGTGCATTCATTGATTTGCAGGGAGCCCTTCTGAGGAAGAGGTCTGGACGCAGTGAGACTCCCAGGCAGTACAGAGCAGTGAATAATAGATATTGGTTCCTCTCCTTGTTTATTCAGATGGCTCGCTGCACTGGGAGCAGGAGGAGAGGTCTCCATCAGACAAATCTCCCTCCTTCCTTGACCATGCCCCTTCAGCTGAAGTTGAGATCACCAGTTACGTGTTGTTGGCATTGCTCCACAAACCCAACCGGAATAAAGAGGATCTCACAAAGGCCTCAGGGATTGTGCAGTGGATCATCAGGCAGCAGAATCCCTACGGAGGTTTCTCCTCTACCCAGGTGCCAAAACTACTTTCCACTCCACAGCTAGTCCTAGGAATTGGGGCACTCTTTCAGGGGTCCAGCAGGCCTCTGACTACCTAGTCCTGTTTCTCTTTTCTACTTGTTGTCTCTGAGAGAAGCCAAACCTTTATATTAGGAGACCAAAATACTTCTTTCCCCCTTTTCTTAACTATAGAAAGGTTAAAACCACTCAAGAGTAATTTGACTAGCAATAAATACAGATATTTGTGTCTGGGGTGAGCCTAGAAAACACCAAGTTCCATCTGTTAAATGACCCATGAGTTCTGTGTAGCTCCTCAGAAAACACAGGCTTCATCACTATGAAAAGCTCTAGAAGTGCGCTCTGCTGCTCATATTTTATTTTCTGAGACCCTTGTATTAGGATTATTAGATTCTTCTACCCTAAATCATACATGAGAGAATGAAAATGGCTCCTTTGTATGGGAACACTGGAGTTATACACAAATTCAGGACGGAGCAACTTCGACTGGTATTGCAGTGACTTTGATCCCCTCTGCACTGGTCACGCTGTGTAGCCAACTGTCTTTCATTGTTTTCTTTTTCTTCAGGACACAGTCATTGCCCTCCAAGCACTCGCTGCTTATGGTGAGGCCACCTACAACTCTGCTTCACAAAACAGAGTCAAGATCACTTCCAAAAAGCCTTTTGAGAAGGTATTTACTGTCAGCAATGAGAACAGGCTCCTGCTGCAGCAGACTCCCCTTCCAGAGGTCCCCGGGAAATACAGCCTGACAATGAATGGCAGTGGATGTGTATTTATGCAAGTAAATGTCTGCCTTCTTCTTTATTGTGTCTCACATTTTGCATACAAGATAGCCATTGTTTTGATGATTTTCTAGCTGACTTCTATTCATTTTTCCTAATTGCTTGATTTCCCTAAACCATTTAAACACTCTTTTCCCCATCCCACATTCTGACTCCTGGGAGTTCTGGCATGCAAAAAGAGTCCTTTCTGATCAACATCTGGTTTCTTTCTGGGAGGTGACTCTGGGTACAAGCACCTTGATTTTTAAAGAGTATACATCTTATGTGTTCATCTTTGATGTAAGCAAGGATCTTCTACTTAAAACGAAGTGCAGCATTGCCAGAAGAATTCATTAAGTCTGACATTTGCTTTTTTGGAATTCAAAGAAAATCTTTGGCATTCTTGAACAAAAAGGTATTTCCTCTTCCAGGCAGCACTGAGATACAATATTCACCTTCCTGAGGGATCCTTTGGATTTCTGCTTTCAGTAGAGACATCAAATGCTTCCTGCCCACAGGACAGACCAGCAAAATTTGATATTGTCCTCATAAGCAGGTAATGTACCATCAGCAAACCAGCTGTGCAGATGACAGGACACACAGACAGCATTGCTGTGTGTTTTCACTTCAGCTTATGAAGTCAAGAACCACAAGCTGATCGATATGCTGATGGTATCAGCCTGTAAGACACAGTATCCCAGAAGACTGCTGACAGGGAACTCTGTTGTTTCAGCTACACGGGGAAACGCAGCAGCTCCAACATGCTCATTATTGATGTCAAGATGCTCTCTGGCTTTGTTCCTGTTAAGTCTTCCCTGGATAAGGTAAACTTAGAGGAGCGAGGCTAAAATTACTCCCCACGGGGACAGAGGAGAAAACCAGAGGCATGGCTAAGAACCATTCAGCCACAGACTGTGTGAAGGGTTTGCATGGCTGCACTGCTCATTACTGGGTGGAGGGAATGCCCTCCAGGGAACTTCAAACACACAGACCCTCCTATATTTGAAACTAGGAAGGGTTTCAGTTCAAGCCTGAGCAGCTGGGAGCTGCAACTGGGAGCTGGCACTGCCTGGGTGGAGAAAGGGTGGGAAACCTCTCAGACTAGCTGTGAAACATAGATCACACCAGAGTCAGGCAGAATTCCCCAAGTGAATTGCAGTGACTTGTGCATTTGGAAAGAGCTCATACCTCCAACTAAGTCAAGTGGTAGGTTTTTGTCCATTCTTTCAATCTATTCAGGAGAAGAATGAATACCGCAGACATGCAGCAATAGGGTCTGAAGCAGCATTTGTTTTGTAATATTTTACAAATATATTTATCTTGATTTTCTTGTTTTGAAGCTCATTGACAGTCATACAGTGATGCAAGTAGAAAACAAGAAAAATCACGTCCTCTTTTATCTGCAAAATGTAAGTTCTGGTTACTGTCTATTTGATTTTCACAAAGGATGGAAACAACATGTAATAGGTATGAATCTATATGAATATATGAATATGAATATACCCTATATGGTGCATATATCATGTTTTCTTCCTCAACAGTTTTCTACTGTAATCACTAAGCTGCTTACTTTTCAAACTGCATGTAACATCCCAACCTTCCAAGCAGCTTCAAACTGATACCTGTCCTACCAGCAACTAAAAAACCAAAAAAATTAATAAAAAAAATCACATTTAAATTAATCAAAATTCTTTCTCCTTTCAGTCAAAAGCAGATAAATGCCTGAAAAGAGGTTCCCTTGTGTGTATGTCTCTTTGGTAGGCTTTTTATAAACCTCAATCTTTCCAACAGGACAGGAAACACTGCTTTCATTCTCCTCTGGAAAGATTTTCTTTGCTTCTCTTACACTAGATCATTGCAAAATTTTACCTGTAATCTAATCCTTGAATCCCTGAATTTATTCAGTAAACAGTTTGCTCAGGGCACTAACAGAAGCCAATATCCCAGTGCTGTAAACTGACTCCCAGTTTCTTGGTGGCACGTAATGTCCATGTCTGAAATGGGAGGGATTGGAAAACCAGCCTTTATCATCCTGACCATTGGCAGACCCTGGAAAATTAAATTCAGTGCCTCTGGACAATTTTCCCACATCTGGCAACTGGATATGCAATAATTACAGAATTGGGTGATACAAGCAGGACAGAAAATCTATTAACTTTTCAGCTCAGTTTCACTTTGGACTCTCCAAACATGTTCAGATAATGGCTGTCCCATATCTGTAGGTGTGGTATTTGGAATATGCAGCCTGTCAGTTACCACCCTTCTCTGCTCTAGATGGTGCTGTACAGATAACAAGACTGATGTGATCTCTGACCTTCCATTCCAGATCTCACAGAAGAAAAGGAAAGAAATCACTTTCTCAGTTGAGCAGGACTTTGTAGTGAGCCACCCCAAGCCAGCTGCTGTGCAGATCTATGACTACTATGAAACAGGTGTGTCTTTGGTTTGAACCAGTGTGAAGTGTGGGAGAGGGACAGGGACAGCAGAACAGCGTGCCTGAACCAGCCCTGCTGCCACCAGCACTCCTCTGAACTCCATCAGTACCTGAATCTAGGGCCAGGGGAGAGACTCATTTCACTTTAATGACCTTGGTCTCATGCCCAAGGTGACCAACAGGCATGACTAGAAAATTATGAAAATACGTGCACCAGAGTAAAGGACATTTCAAGGATCTCCAGTTTAAGCATGCATAGGTTATATCCACCTCCAGGAAAAGGCACAAGAAGTGTTCTCCAGGGTAACAAGAATATTTCTATTCTTCTCCAGAAGAGTATGCTGTTGCTCAATACTCATCACCTTGCAAAGAGGTTGCTGCAGAAATGGACTGAGGATTCGAAAAGGTAAGTGAAAGTCAGAAAATAAGCAGATAAGAAAGTGAAGTATAAAACAGCAAGAGCAGAGTGAGCTGAACAGGAACTATTCTCAAAGAAACAAAGTCTTCATGAGGCTTCTCAGAGAGCAGGCAGAGACAGTGGCCAGATCCTGTCCCTTGACACCAGTGGAATCCAAGTGGGGACCACATCACTGTTCATGGGGAAAACTCAGCTTCTAGAATAAAAGTCTAAGTGCAAAATAATGGAAAGACTGCAAAATACCTTCAAAGTTTCCTCAAAAGCACAGATATGTAGCAAAGAACCATTTACCTTTGGCTATCCTTGAAAGTCTTACCTCTGGAGCCTATGCTTCCCAGGCCTAAGCAAGGTTTTCCACATGGAATAACAGAAACTTTTTCTGGGACAGTAAATACATTATCTGAGGAGAAAAAAAGTGACATGAAACATGGAGGTGGTGAAATAATTGGTCAGAGATATGATGCTGCCTGGTTGTAGAGGAGGTCAGGTCTGCATTCTGTTCAGCACAGAAATTCTGCTGCTGTTATCTGATGAGCAGTCTCTGAGGGGTCCAGGCACAGCTTGCTGCAAGACCTTGGTCCAGCTTTTTCCTGCTTCACACAGAAAGAACTGACTGCCCTGTATTTTTTTTAAAAAAATACCCGTATTTTGTAACCTGCAGCTATTTGTTTGCTCTCATTGAGGTTATTTTCTTTTGGATTTTCACCTGCAGGAGCACCATATATGTTGAACAAGTGGTCAAGCACCCTATTTTCTTCTGTCATGAAGTCCTGGAAAGGGCCATTGCACCCTGGGAATGACAATGGGACTCTGTGATGTTGATGGAGCTAGTGTCTGATTCTCTGTTTCCTTTCACACCACATCTCTCCAGTTCTGTAGCATAATCATGTATAACTTCCCACCAATAAACCTCCCTTTTACTTTGGGCATTGGCTTTATTTCAATGTCACAGAAGAGGCATTTTGATGATAGTCCATGTGTCGTGACTGCTGCCTGGGGGAGGATGAGGAGAGGAACACGCTTGTCCTGCCTGCAGCACTTTCCCCCAGCTACAGCTGATAACCACTGGCCACTGCTGCAATACACATCGTGTTCAGTCCCCCCACATCCAGAGATGGCACCCACTGCTCATGGCTGCTGGACAACCCCTCACCTTTCCCCAGCCCTGTGGGGGCACTGCCTTTGCCCCTGTAGCATAAGAATAGGGGTTTAGGTGTGGAAGGACATTGAGACACTTGAGCACGTAAGGCCTGTGAGGAATGACTGAGGGAGCTGGGGTTGTTTAGCTTGGAGAAAAGGCGACTCAGGGGTGACCTTATCACCTCTACAACTCCCTGAAAGGTGGCTGTAGTCAGGTTTAGTCAGGCAGCAGCTGACAAAATGAGAGGACAAAGTCCTAAGCTGTACCAAGGGAAATAGAGGTTGGATATTAGGAAAAAGTTTTTTACTTAAAGAATGATAAAATATTGGAATGGTCTGCCCAGGGAGGTGGTGGAGTCACCATCCTAGATGTGTTTAAAAAAAGACTGGATGTGGCACTCAGTGCCATGGTTTATTTGAGGTGTTAGGGCATGGGTTGGATTCAATGATCTTGAAGGTCTCTTCCAACTGAGCGATTCTGTGATTCTGTGGTTCTATGATCACAGAGTGACTCTGCATCAAGCTTAGCAGGGGACAGGGTGAGGAAAGGGGCAGCTTGCAGTCCTGGCCTGGTGATCACCTGGTCCCACATCCTGGATCTCACCCCATCAGGCCCTCCAGTCCACAAGTCTGGTCAGAGTTTGTCCAAACCAGGCCACGATGGATCATGGTTCCAGCCACCAGCAGCAAGCCTCCCTGTTTTCCTGCACCTCTTGTCATCCCCTGCTTTGTCACGCTTGGAGTCGTGGTGGTTTCTGCAAACACTAACACATCAGCACAGCAGCATCGGGAGGGCTCGGGAAAGAAACACGGATGCTGCTCTTCCTTCCCAGTACTGGGGATGGAGCAAGGCAGGCACTGGGGGGGATAATGGGACCCACAGGGGCCTGAGCAGGAATTTAAGTGCAAACTGCTCAAGTGCCGAGGGTTAGGATGTGTTTTGACAGGATCTGTTCCACCAGGAGATTTGCTAAAAGCTGCATGCAGGCTTGCTTTTTTCTTTTTTTTTTTTTTTTTTTCCCGGTGAAAATTAATCATCCAGTCAACACAGGATATTCCTCTCCCCAAATCAATTTTTTTTCAAAATGCAGTAAAAAATTTGAGGTTTAGAATTCCACAGGGCTGGCCATGCAGGATGTGCACGATACTGGTGTTATAAAAAAACATTTTCTAAAGTTCCACAGATGAGAAATCTGTGAGACATGAAATAGCTTTGGGTACATTTCTGATCTCCATGCAGAATTAAAACATCACTGGCAGTTTTGGATGAAAGGAGGAAAAGGAGGAAAGCAAGAAAGTCTGTGAATTTTGTATTCCTGACACAGCCCAGATTGTAGCAACTGACTTGATTTACATGAGCATTGGGCTGGACTAAAGCAAGATAAATCAATAGTTACAGTAACCAGGTTGAAAAGGGGAGCAGACAGAGTGGATGTGGATACAGGGTGTATATCTTCCTTAGGAATGTAAGACCAATTAAGTTCAGGCTTCAGCACCTCACATGGAACTCATAAAAATCCCCCCTCAGGTCTGGCCAAATATGTTATTCTGCTCTGCCAAACATAATTTCCTGGGAAGAAACAAGGTAAAAAAAAAAAAAAAAAAAAAAAAGATTTAAAAAAAAAAAAAAAGTGCATTTTTATCATACTTTTGAAACCTTATCTTCCTGCTAGGCCAAACCTAACTAATAAAACATGAAATGCTCATTTCCCACTGCAATCTCTTCTTTTGCATGCTGAAAATGTAATGTTTGTTACCCAATTTTATCCTTCAACTCAAACAGACAATTGGTGTTTACAGTCAGATCTAATAAATATCCCATGCTCACACTCTCCCTCCAGATTTTTACATCTAGATCATGTCTCCCTGGCTTCCACTCCCACAGGGAACAGCAGTGTTCTTAAAACACATTCCAACACCTCCAAGATGTCTGGAACTTTGGTGTTTCAGCTCTAGGTTTTGTGCCACACACCTGTCGCTGTTGGACACGAAATAAGGAGCATGTGTTCAGTTCCACAGCAGAAAGAGGATCATCAGAAGGGCTTTATTTCAGGACCTTTCAGCCCCTTTTATAAGGTGTTCTGATACAGGTTTGACGTGATTGGTAAAGGGAACAACACCTCTCTAGTCCCATTGGTGGAACAAGAGAAAACACCCTCAACACAGCTGTACAGTATTGTTTTGAGAACTATAAATTATTTATAAAAATAGTCCTCGAGAGAGAAACTTTCTCAAGAAAGTTTCCCTTGGGAAGAGAATTTTTCACTGACAGGCTGAAAACCTTTACAGGCTCAAAAAATCAGGTCCACACACACCTGAAACTGAAGCAAGTATATTAATTGTGGACTGAACAAGCCTGGGACACCCATTAGACTGAATGTCATTTCTTCCTCTGTCATCTCATAATCCTGAGGTGCCAGGGATCTGGGGAGTGTTCCTTGTAATTTTTAAGTCTTACAGACTAAGCAAACTGTGTTGTCCAATGTGATAAAATCAGGCTTGCTGGCCCAAGAGCTGCAACGAGGTACCTTACTGCTGCCAACTCAAAGGCTCATGCACTGGCTTACTGTGCTTGGTATTGCACATCTCAGTTTAAAAAAGCTGAAATTGTTGTGTAGGGCACTGAACTGAGTCAGCAACACTACAATAAATGGGAAACTCCCAGCTTCACTGTGGGTGTTGCCAGTGTCCTTGTACCTGCCCTGAAGCTTTTGGATCTCCTATGGGCCCATGCATGGAAGTACATTAAAAGCTGTTCTGAAATGCAATTCTTATTAACAAAAAAGAGTTAACAAAAGGTAATCACATCATAATGTCTTTGACTAAAATGCTCTGGCAAGCTTACTTCCCTTTTGTGTTAAATAATTATTTGTAAAATTTATTTGTACTCTGGGAATTGATTTGCTGCTCATGTGGAGTCCACACTCCAGGATCTGCAAGAGGCTGACGTTATGCCCTAGTTAAGAAGAGGACTTACAATGACCATACCTGCTTTGAAAAGTAAACATCAACTTTATTCCAGTAGAAGATTAGTCTCATCCACAGTGCAGGCAGCAGGATGCAAAATCTAGAGGAAAAAGAAGGTCTCTGGTCTCTCCAGAAAAATGAGCTCTAGTGTAGAAGCATTCTCTTGCTTAGGTCCCTCAAATGCTTAGCTAGGGTCAGACAAAGGAGTCGTTGGTCCAGGGAGTTTGGTTGCTCCATCTTTTCACTCAAACCCTGTGTGATCCCTGCAGTGTCACAGGTAATAGTGCCAAGCTATTAACAACAGCACAGCAAGACCCCACCTGTATGATTTTGATGTTCAGGTCCTAGCACCTGTGTCAAATATGAAGTGTAAGTAATGGCCAACCACTTCAATGATCAGAGAAGACCAGAAATGTGTCAGAAGATACTTCAGCCAACAAATGACAATATCAAATTGCTCTGTCATCTTGTTCTCTGATGATTTCTTTGCTGAGTTCATTTGTACCTGGTGGACAATCAGGGAGGTAGGGCTTTGTCTGTACTGAATTTACTCCCACCATCTGATTCATCAGTCAGGTGACACAGAAGTGTGGTCACATCTCTGGCACCATTGGCTGTGAAACTTTGAGTGTCAGAGAAGGACTTCCTGAGGAACATCCCTCATACACTTCAATTTTTGATTATTCAGAGCAACAGTGATAACTTTCCTTGATAATTTTTCAAGTGAAAAAGCAACATAGTGTAATCTAATCCTGTAGCTCACAACAAGAGAAAGTTCCTTTCTGCTTGACCTTGTACAAGGTCACCTCTTGAGGGTCAAGAAAATCCTAAAAGCAAGGCATTACACTGAATATAAGACCTAATAGACTCCTTCAAGGGAACATCTCACTCTTCCCCTTTCTGATACTCTTGCAGCCCAGCACACAGAGATCCTTTCTGCCACATCACTGTTCCTGCTGGACAAACCAGGATCTCCCTTAAGAAGATGATTTCAGCAGGGCTTCAGGACTCCATGTTGTCACACTGTGTAAATAGAACCTGGAGATTTAAAAAGTCCTGTTTGAGAGAGAAGAGAGGGTAGATAACAAGGCTGGCAGAGGTAAAGGGAATAAAAATCACCACTGGCTATTGACAGGACTCTGCTAAAGTGCTAAAGTGCTAACCTCACACATTTTTTCAGCCTCCTACCCTTTGGCTCACTACCCATAGGGAGGTTAAGGCTGGGTTATTACTGGAAGCAATTGCATAACTGTGCCAGAGGTTTTCTACTTCACTTCTCCAGCCGTGATAAGCTCTAGGTCCCACTGGTTCCCCTTGCTGTCCTTGCTGTCAAGGCAAGGTGTGTCCCCAGGGTCTGTGCCAAGGTAAAGCACATCTGGGAAGTCCTATGCATTGACTGTGGGATGCACAGCTGGCTCTCTCTTCAGAGCCCATGGCTGCTTAGGAGAGGTCTTGTCCTGTCCCCAGGACAGGCTCTGTAGCAGGACACTGTGTTAAAAAGGTTCCCGATAAATGGATTTGTTCTCCAGTTGTGTTACACTGGAACTTTAAGGCTCATACACCTTCCCCTGACCTGAAATTTCAGCTCTGCCCTGCCTAGTAAGCTGAAACATAGCAAAGCAGAGGTGCAGGGGAAAGAATTAAATATGACAATATCTGATTTCCTTGCCTCATACTCCACTAGGACTTTCTTGTTTGGCTTTCCTGTAGCATCCTCCATCTCAAAACCCAGACAAGCACACCAGCTGAGCCTCAGCTCTTCTCTGCACTGGGAAAAGGCTGATGACTTGTGTACCAAACATCTGGCCAAGCTGTAGCACAGAGAGAGCCTGATGGCTGTGCATTATGTTACCCAGGAGGGAGTCAGGAATGGAGCTGAGCACAAAGCCCTTCCCCTTGGCCCCCTTGGCTCAGAGAGATAGCTCTGGGAGGCAGGGCTGAGGAGCAGGTGGGTGTTACTCCAGGTGGTACAGCACAGGCTGTGCCACAGGGAGGTGGCACTGGCACAGCCTCCTGCTGCCCTCCTCGAGCAGCCTTCCGGAGGGAGGCTGTGATTTGGAGTTTTACTGTTTTATAGCTAAGTGAACTTTAAATCTAAATGGCAGAAATCTCTGGAATGCCTGGACACTATGGGTGTTTTTTCTCCACTGGCACTTCTGCTCATGGCCTTCTGCCACGAAGAGTGGCTGGTCTCTGGGGATGGATGTCTCATGGCCCCTGTGGGTGCCTGTTCTGCTGTTACATAGCCCTTGGGAGAAACATTTTTTTTTTCCTTCCTTTCCTCATTGTTTCTCTGTACGAAGCTTGGCCCATTGTCCTTGCTCCTGCCACTGTGCACCTCTGAGGAAAGCCTGGCTCCAACACTGTTCAACCTGACTTGAACATAACCTCAGGGCCAGCAGAAGAACCTTCACGAGATGCCTATACCTGAGGAGAGGTAGCCCAGACAATAATTTAACAGCCAAAGCTAAACAGAAAGTCTATATACATTTAATATATCTTTTTACATGGTAAATTTTTATCTGAAGAGTCATATGACTCAAAAAGAGCATAGTTGATTGTCCTGAGTGCTGTTCTGAGACACATTTGTAAATGTTTTGGCTTTTTCTACCTCCTGGGCAAAATTCTAGTACAAAAGTATAAATTAAAATAGCTTGTCATTTGTTACTACGTCGGGGATTATCTTCAATTCTCTGTAATATCCAAAAATATCTGCTAACATGCAAGCAGTTTCCTGTTTACACATTTTAAAATTATTAGATATCGTTCACTAGTTACCTTAGATGGATTTTATAAGGCGATTTCAACAATTTATCCTACTCTGTGTGTGCTGTGCTGTGTACTGTAAGTATCAAACAGACACACTGAAGATTTCTCTTGCCTGCGGGTAAACAATCCTGTTTATAACCTTTTTTGCAACACACTGTATCAATTTCTTCGAAGGCGGGACCAAGTTTATACATAGAGTGGATGTTTGTTATAATCTAGCTGAGAGAGACAGAAAGCTCCTGCTTTTTATAGGGCTTACCCTACAGATGGCCTCCTCACATCAGGCAAAATATGGTCACAGGATCATTTATAAAATTCAGCTACCAATCTGGTTCACAATTTAATCTACAAAGTGCATTAAAATGAAAATAATTCATTGATGGTTTTGTCATGCCTGAATTTACTCATTTGTTCATATGACAGCACAGAAATACGAGTTATATTTGACAACCCAGCTGTCCACGTCTGGGAAAGGCAGTTCATCTGCTGCCAGGCCCTTCTCTCAAGTTAAATCATTCAACAAGCAGCTAAAGTGAATGATCTTTATTCATACTCACATTTTCAGTTTCATTTGAAGTTTAGCTGATGAAGCTGTTTTATGGTATTTTGTTTCACTGTGTATCTTCCTGTCCCTGCTTGTTGCAACTTGCAAAATGTTCATATTGACTGATGTTTTTTGATAGATGGCCTTCCCTTCACTGTGGTCTGTGAAGTATTTTGTCTCCTATACAAAGACAAACACCTTTTTTCATCTTTGGATGTTGCAGTTATTCTTACAGATTTATCCAAAGACCTTTCCCAGTCATACCTTTTTTTTTTTAATACAAAATAAATTACTTAAGTTTTTTTTTGCTTTATATTCACAGGCTGGGAAAACTAATATCATCATCTGTATTTCCTTTAAAATAACAATACTGATTTTTTTTTTTTCTGTAGTATTTTTTCTGCCTTTAGCTGAACAGCTAATGCATTTTTTTAACTGGAGCTCTTTGATGTAAGTCTTGGATTTTGCAGCAGACTTTTTCTAACCTGTCATCATAACAAGCTGATGTAAGCACTAAGGAGAGACATTCCTTTACTAGAGCTGCTGGTTTCCAACAGGAGTTCTTAGGTGAAAGTGCATGGACCACCACAGGCATGGTATCAGTGTCTTTAAGAAATGTTTCTTCAGCTTTTTCTTTCCACACATGCCTGTTCTTCAAAGCCAAAGGTTAAAGTTCAATTTATTGCTTGGCTTTGGCTTTGAGGGTTGAGTGTTGTGCTACTGTCCTTGACGAGATTAAACAGGATCATATTAGAGAAACAAGTGTCTTTCTTGGGATTATTTACTTTTGGTAACAGGGGTTCCAAAATTGCTTAAGATCCTGAAGAAGACAAGGATTCCCCCATATATCACTGTTGTGATAGTACTGAGAGTATTTACACCCAACCACAGACACCTTTTCTTCCTGCAGTTGCAATCACCAGCCAGCCACTCTGCTTTTGGACAATTGGCAGTCACCTACAAAGCTAAAGCATAGAAACTGAAAAGAAATCAGAGGAAACTATACCAAAACTGGATTAACGTGACTAAAATTACACAGCTCAATATCCTACTTTACTTTCAAGTGAAAATGTGTTTTCTAAAGTGGCCATAGACTTGGAGGGGTAGGACACATTAAATTTTTGTGTCATCTTTGCCAGGCAAAAAAGTGAGGACTGTATAGCTCAGATGAAACTTTGAAGAATAAGGCATGTTGTGACTGAAATTTATCAATATTCCTGATGGGCTCTATTAAGTTATTAATTTAATCTTTTGTGTCAATCATTCCAAGTCAAAATAATATATTTTAAAGTGCTGATGAAGAGGAACAATGAAGGAAATATTGTGGAAATTTGAATCAGATTGCTGTGATTGGATGCTGCCCACAGGGAATATTACCATGTGCTGAACACATTTCATATCCCCAACACTGTGGATATCTGATGGGTTAAGGAAAGCAGGGCATGAATCATTCAAAGATTTCTAATATAAGCATTATCCAAATAAATACCCTTCCCCCACTTGCAGAGTCCCTGGCCAAATACTGTCCCTCTGTTCCAGCTGCCTCTCCCTGTTTCCGGATGGGCCCTGGCCCCCAGCCCTTATCTCCTCCAGCCCCTGGGCTGTTTGCAGAGAGCAGCTATAAAGAGGCTGACAGAGCACAGAGTGGAGGAGAACTACAAGGTGCAGGAAAACAGCAGCACTGCTTGGCTCACCACGACCTGCTCTGCACCATGGGGAAGGACAAGCTGCCCAGCAAACCAAACATCTTCCTCCTTCTTCTCGTCTTCCTTCCTGGAAATACTCCTCTCCACACAGAACCGTAAGCTACACAGGCAGAGGGGGGGGAGGGATGTCTAAGTGCTGCCTTTTTCCTTCAGTTTTCTTCCCACTAATAACCAAGCCCTGAGTTTTTTGCACAGCTCTGACAGTGCTCCCCACTCCCATCCTGTGATCCCCTGGCTGTCCAGCCCTGGGCTCTCTCTCTACCTGCCAGTGGCCTCCTTCCACCCTCTCCCCAATTTCTGCCCAAGTGCCCTCAGTCCTGCCCTGCAGCTGCCTGATAGTGCAGACCTGGCTCCTCACAACATATTTGCCTAAATATGTTTCTACCTAGAAACCTCTCAGGGCCTGGGATTTTTTGGGCATGATGCTAGAATCCAGGTGCTTACCTTCCCCAGAGTATCCTCGTTTCAATCACTGAGTTACTTCTCTCCATTCTCCTGTTGCTTTCAAGCCAGTCTATTCCCCTTTCTCCTGCCAGTTTGTTTCCCTTGGCAGCATCAGATGTACTTGTTCTCAGAGAGGATCTGTGACCTAGATTCTCTTCCTGCAGCAGGGAGGCTGGTGCCAGCGCCCTCCTGGGACATCCAGGCCAGGGCTGTGCAGCCCAGCAGCTGCACCTCGAGCTGTGCCCATGGCCCTGGGCAGCGGGCATGGCAAGGTGGGCTGGAGACCGGCATGCCCACCCCAGCCTTGCCCACCAGAGTGTGTGGCCCTAAAGCCTCTTGTCTGGGTGGGAGCAGTCTCCCTCTTCAGACCTTGGCTGCTGTTCTTCCTGCTGTGCTGACAGAGGCGCAGTTCTCAGCAGCACGGTGAGAATGCAGTGCTGGCTGCAGAGATTTTATGCATAGTGCTGTCAGGAGGTGCAGCACTGCTGCTGACACTTACTGTGTGGGCAGAGGTAAAGTTGTAACAGGGTCAGCCTGAAGGACCTTGGACTCACACTGTACCATCAGTCCCTCATCCATCTGCCCTGTTGGTGTGCTTCTGGGGTAGATCAGCCAACCAAGTCTGCTTTGGGGTCAGGCAGAGCTCCCTGGTCTCCCTACAGTAATCTGATGTTACTAAGTAATGAAGATTACTTAATCTTAATTCATCCTTGCCCAACATCAGGAGGAAAGGGAATGAAACCATACTGCTCAGACCTATAGGCAACATAGGATCATAGAACCACAGAACGGCCTGGTCTGGAAGGAACCTTAAAGATCATCCAGTTCCAAACCCCCTGCCATGAACAGGGATCCCTTTCTCTAGACCAGAGCTCCACTCAACCTGGCTTTAAACACTTCATGATGGGGTAGCCACAGCTTGTCTGGGCAACCTGTGCCCGTGCTTCACCACCCTCACAGTGAAGACATTTTCTCCCTAATAGCTAATCTAAACCTATTCTCTTTTAGTTTGTATCCATTCCCCCTTGTCCTGTCCCTTGGCAATAGTTTCTCTCCATCTTTCTTGTTGGGTACTTTTTGTCCCTTACCTGAGCCCCATTCTGGGAGGGAAGAACAAAGAAAGGATGAGAGGTGGGAGAGAGAAGGGTGTTATTGGGCCCACAGAAGGAAGGCAGGAGCCCAGTAGGGAGGCAGTTCTGAGCAGTGAACTGCTAGGTAGCTGATGGTAGTGGTTTTGCTGCGGGTGCAGGATAGATCAGATGCTGTATACAACACAGAAAGGAAGCAACCCTTGAACTGAAGACAAAAATTAAACTTCTAACCAAGACTTGCTTACTGTGCCCTATGCAAGTAGGGGTATCATTTCTTTGGGCAGAAATTGCTGCTGCTATTTCTGTTTCAGAGGTGGCCAGCTGGACAGGAGACACAATTAAGGCTAAGATTATGTATTAGAAAACACATTCATCAAGTTAGTGCAGCACTGGAAGAGATAACCCAATGAGATGGTAGAAGCTCCATCTATAGTGTCCTTTGCAAAAGTCCTGTTGCAGCAGGGAAGGTGGGCTTGGGACATCCAGAGGTCCTTTTGTGCATGTAAGCTGTTTTACAATGCAGTGTTCATGCTTGGGAATACTCTGCATTTGGTCATAAGTATGAGGTCATAATGAAACTTGAATTGGCAGTTATGGATTTGGGCTGATGAAATTCACTGCTTTCTTTGGCTGGGTGCTTGTTCTGGTAAGCAGCTGAGAGTCAATAAACAGATAGACATTATTCCAACTTAAGCTACAGTATTACCTTTTCCATATAAACAAACTCACCATTTTTACCTCAGCCACCATCTCTATGGTCTCCTATTCCTCCTTGATGCATGCCTCTGTCAGTCACCACCTCTCTTGTCAGAGCAGCTCACTGCATGCCGAGGTCTCTTTTGTCAGCCCAGATGCTTTTTGTCCTGGAATGTCTATACATGGATTTTGTGACCAAAGTTACTTAAAATGCTCATAGTAATTTAATTCATCTGTCTCTTCTCAACAACACATCCCAAAACACCTAAAAGACAGGTCTATAAACAGCATGGTTTATATCTTTGTTTCAAAGGCAGGGAAGCCAGCCTAAGGGGAAGTTCTGCAAGTTGGCCAAAATTTCAGCAGAATAGTGAACAGGAAGAGAAATGAGGCCAAATTCCCCACGAACTAGGTCATGCTGTCCTTTCTGTAGACTGGATGTTATTGTCGCATTGCCAGTGCCACTGACAGGGGGGATGGCATTAGGGGAAGCGGCATGGGCTGAGGCCGTGGTAAGAAGGCTGTGGAAGAAAGGAAACACTGGAGAAAGTAGAGAGTCACAAGCTGTAACTCGCTCTCTGGGAGGCTGGAGTTCCCTCTTTTCACAGCTTCTGCAGCAGCACTGGCTGAGCAGAGCTCAGAGCAGGCTCCTCACCACATTTCATCACAGTGCTGCCCCATGGTGAAGGAAATGCAGGTACTGCCTGGATCCCACTGCCTCCACAATAGCTTTAGGACTCCCCAGAAAGCTCAGAGCCCAGGTAAAAATGTAGCTCTGGTTGGATGCAGCTGGATTTGTCCTCTATTCCTTTCTGAATAGACTTCCCGACAGTCTGTTTGTTACTGATTACTGACTGAGAATTTTCCAAGACTGACCAACAGTGTTCAAGTCTGAGTGGTAGGAGCTCAATTATTATTTTCCCTTTATGAACAGTTAATTTGCCATTTTTGCTACTCAGTTCTATCATACAAAAAAATCTTTTCCACAAATGTGTAAGTCAATTTTTTAGAATTTTCTTATCCTGCACAATTATGAAAAAAATTGTACTTCTGAGATCATTTAGGTTTGTACTGAAGAACAGGAGTCTCAGCACAAACTCTGGAGGTTTTCACTGGTTCCTACCCTTTCTGTCCTATCTTTCAACAAATTAATGCAGGACAGAATTAATAATTTGATTTATTAGTAAAATGATCCCTTTTATTGAGTGGCAGCTTAGTTTAAGGGTCCTTTGTGAGGGACCTTTGTCAAAAGTTCTTTGAAGATGCGAGTACACTTGAGTCGCAATAAAACACTACACTCTGAAATCCTTTGTGTGCTCGTCTTAATAAGGTCCCAAACTGCAAGCACTCACATCTTTGCTTAGCATGTGAAGGATTTGGAAACCTGCATAGGCAAAGATTGGAGCAGCCAGACAAGTGGGTGGGTTTCTTTCCTCAGCTGTTTTTAGCTAATGCCACTGAGTCTCAAAAGGAGATTGTGGGATATACAAAATTCAATTAACAGCCTGAAACCTTTCAAACCATCCTTACTCCCCTGCTGTGAAGCCAAACAAAACATCCTTTGTAAAGCACTCTCCATTAGCATAGAAATTGTTCCTTCTACTGCAAGCATTTCCCTGCTTTTAGGCTAATTAGTTAGACCATTTAATATGTATAAACCCAAAATAAAATGAATGCTCATGTTATATGCACTGCAATTCGCAAGGATGACAACGGATTAGGCATGCTGATTTGTTAATTTTCTTTCATTTTCATACGGTTGCCTTAAAACTGTTTCACATTTCTGATCTTTCTTGCTTCCCTCTCTTCACAGGCAGTACCTGGTGCTGGTGCCCTTTCTGATACACACGGAGTCTCAAGAGAAAGTCTGTGTCCAGCTGACTCACCTGAACGAGTCTGTGAGTGCCACACTCGAGTACCTAGGGGAGAACAGGAGCTTGATTGATGATGTGGTGTCAGAGAAAGATGTGTTCACCTGCATCCCTTTCTCTGTGAGTATCTCATCCCTGTGGGATGATCTCTTGTGTTCATTGATGTGGCATAGTAGATACAAGCAGTCCAGAAACGAGAAATAAGACACACTGCAATCAGAGACCCCTAAGATAAGTCAAACAAAAGGATTAACTCAATGTGGATAACTGACAGTGGTAGTCTTATGAGGACTGATTTTCCCCCATTATCAAATTCTGGGTCACACGTGGTAGTTCTCTGCGTGCATGCCTTAGAGAAGTCTTCTGGAACTTTGACTGACAAAATGTGCCCCACGTTTGTTTGATATGTGTAAAGCTGAGATGAAAACAGCGTGAAAACTTTAGAAGCTGGGGAATTGTTAAAGACAGTGAGGTCCAGGAAGTCATATGGCTGCTTCTGCAGCTTATGCACAATTTTTTACTGCAGAAGGGTGGTTGGTGAGTAACGTAAGCAACAGGTTCCATACCCTAGTTAATGAATCTGGGTTAATTTTCTTTTTGATAAATCATGCGATGGATTAAAATAGAATCGGGTTCAATATTTCTCTAAGAAAAGTATATAAATGAAGGAAGGCAATCATGTTTTTTTCTTGCTCCCTGCGCTGAGCCTTTTTTGTCCCTTAAGGGAACTTTCTGACCCAGCTAGTACTTCTTCCTTCAACACTCAGTGCAATGGGGTGAATCAGTAAAGCAGTTATCCTCTTCATTCTCCTTAGCTTCCAAAATCCAATAGCACATCAGTGGCGTTTCTCACTGTGACGGTGACAGGGGACACACTGCAGTTCAAGAGCCGCAAGTCAGTGCTGATCAAGAATTCTGAAAGCTTGGTCTTCATCCAGACAGACAAACCCATCTACAAGCCTGGACAGACAGGTACCAGGAACTGGGCTGGTGTTGACTCTGACAGCATAAAGTCTTAAGGGGTCCATTCTCCAGAAGTGCCGTACTTCTATTAAAGGTCTCAGATTTCTTTATGGGGGGATCTAAGGTGCTCAGTAAATCTTAAATCTTATTTGTGTCAGCTGAGGTCTAGTTCATGGCACTTCCATCATTCCTAGTCTTCATTCTCCAGGCACAGCATCTCAGCCAGATGTAGGCACAGGATCTGATTCATTCTACTCAAGCAGAGGCACAAAACTGGGATGAGTTGCAAGGGTGCAACTCCCTTGGTTGCACCAGAATCAACAAAGCAGGACAGGCACTCCCAAGAGATAATTCAATTCAGCCAAGACCTGATTATCTATCTAAATTTATCTGTCCCTCACTACCTGCAAGAGAAAGAGCCTGAAGTAATTGTTTCTTTTATTTAGAGATCTCAATTCAGAGCCTGTTGATCCGAGTTATAAATTACTGAAACATTGACATTTTCTGGTGGTGGATAAAAATTTAACAGTGGAATTTCCATTTTTTTCTGTTGCACTCTTCAGTTCAGTTTCGGATCGTCTCTCTGGACAAAGACTTCTACCCGCTGAATGAGAAGGTAGAGCCTTAATTCCTTGTTGTTAGCCAGGAGATTTAATCCTTAATTAACACCACTGTTGTCATCATCCAGAACCACTGAAGACAGCCTTTAAAACATATGATACTCTCTCACACCATGCTTTACCTGCTCTGTATTCTATCCTAGGACACACTCCACCCATCTCTATTGGCTGAAAAAAAACATCCCCTTTTTCAGAAGCATATAGATGTTTAAAAGCAGACTTGCAGCTCAGTGTATGTGGTTAAGCATGTGGGCAGGGATGTCATTACTGAAAAAAAATGTGTGGGACAAGTTTCCATTGGTAGTGACAGGTGTGCAGCTGTTTCTGGCAGTTGGTGCAATCCCACACTTAGAGAGCAGCATGACAAGAACTTGGTTTTATGGATCTGGTGAGAGGTGCAAGCCCACCTTTTATTTTATTTGACAATCAGTTCCTCATGCAGACAAGTTATTTGAAAACTTGTGCTTCGTCACATCTTCATACCGTGGTAAGACAAAAGGTCAGGGCCCTAAAATATTATATAAAAGATTCCCTGAGCCATCAAGAACCAAGGAAAAGGAGCAAGTACAGAAAGGGAAACAAAACCAAAGGACTTCTTAGAAGTTTGTTCTTCTGCCCTTCAGTCCAAATCTGGAAATTGCTTCTGTGTGATTAATATTTCTAACACTGATTTTCTTTTGCTCTTTCCCCACAGTTTCCCTTTGTCTACGTTCAGGTGAGTGGATAACTACAACATTATTTGCAGAAGAACGTGCAGGCACAGAGGTACCAGACCCCAGTAGTGGTGTTTTCAGGCTGAGGGGCAAGGGAAAGATCACAGGCATGTGACCTTTTCCCTTTGGTTAAAGGAAGGCTGAATAGTCAGGCATCAAAATAACTTCCAACAATGGTTCTTTGATCACAGAATGAGCTGTAAGAGAAAACTAATTGATCATTACAAGCCATGCTGTGAACAGAACTACACTTGGCTAGAGGTCATCAAAATGGCTTATTGCTCTTCCCAGTCAGAACTGAGAGTTTCTGTCTGCCAAGTGTGGTTCAAATTAGAGACCAGTGTTAAATAAGCTATCAAAACCAAAGAAACAAAATTAGGTAAGTAGACATTCCCTGTCTTCCCAAGCATGTTCTTTTTGTTTGCTGTTTTTTTAAATGGTTGAACTTCAGTGGCAGGCAAAAGTTAGAAAGGAAGATGTTTGAATGATTCAAACACTCACTTTTGCCTAGCAAGCTGAATAATTTCATAACCTATGTGAGGATGTGTCAATACCATGAAAGCCTTCAACTTTAAATCCCTAGGAAGGACATCTGTGTTTTCAGCTCCAGTCTGTAAAGCATGGCGTTTGTCTGTGCTGCTTAAGCCAGCTTATGTAGGCCTTGTCCTTCCTCCTCACCATCCCCTCTCCCTTCCTCAATACCCCTTCTCAGTCCAGTACTGCCCTTTGTTTGGATTTCACAGATGTGCTCTACAAGGCACTCTTGTAGAGTGGGAAGCTCCTGTGGCAGAAAACTCACCGGTTTACTCTAGAATACTTTCTTCAGCCAGATCAGATCTGTCAGTGCAGTTTGCCACATGATTGCATGCAACTTGGACTGGACCAAAGGAAAGAGTGGCAGGAGTGAAGAAAGGTGACAGCCTTAGAGTCAGCACTTGTAAGGAAATAAATGTCCATCAATCCACACCCTATATGTCACTAATTTATCTTAGTGAAGCACAAAGGCAGAAGATCGTATGAGTCTGCTACTTCTGAACTATTATCCTGTGACCTATTGTTTATATAATTTTAAATAATAGAACTCCTTCCTGAGGAAGAAAACAAACTGGTTTTCAGGCCTTCCCTATAGATACATCACAGGAATGGCAACAAGTTCACAAGCCCAGCTTGAAATGTAGAGATTTATGTGGACATTTTCTTAAATTCCTCTTCTGAGGAAGCCCAGTGGTGTCCCTCACAATAAGTTTTCAGCAGGGTTGAAATGTGATGATGAAGAGGATTTGGTCAGAGCCATGAGATGCATTTTACTGACTGTGCCACCCTTGCAGGTGGCTTCTCAGGAGCATGGCCCCCTCTTCTTCCCCCTGACTGATGCTCTCCAACTGGGAGATGTCACTCACATCTCCACTTCCCCTAAGCCCTGAGATAATATCTCAGTGCAGTAAGTGCACATAGTCACATACCTTGAGTCACACACCTATCTAGAGTAAATAAACTTTTGGTGACTGCCAAGGTACAATGCAAAGAGCAGACAGAAAATGAAAGACTATAAATATTAACCATCCTGCTGAGGAGCCTGAAAAGGCTACATTAAACTACACAGGACCACTGTGCTCTTTCAGTGACTTCTATGGGAAATTTGAGGCTGAGGGGATCAATAATTGATAGTCAGTAATGAGAAATACACAAATGTAGTAGTGGTGAGACTTCAGCTCCAACATTAGGAACATGAATCCACTTGGGAGGAACCTCAGCTGTATGCCTGTATGTGGAAGTATACTTTCCTCTCTTCCTGTCACCATACCTAATCTTCATACCTAATCTAACACACCTGACCACTAGCTTAGGACTCTTTAAACATGTACATTTCTCAGTCCCATAGATAAGTCAGGTGTCTGATTCCTCAGCAGATTGTGTACTGGTACTTCAGCAGTCTTCATTCCAGGCAGGGGGAAACCAAAATTTTTGCATGCTGTATGGCCAGTCAAGGAAGCTGAAACTTCCCTCTTTTTTCCATGTGTTTCACTTACTTCTGATATCAATTCTGCTCCCTTTTGTTATCCTGCCAGTCTGTCTTGCCTAGCTTCCTGGCCCCATCCTTTACAGGTAGAGCTGATGGGGGGACAACACCCCTGAGTGTAAGAAGTGTTTAAAAAGCCTTCTTGACGCAAATTATGCAGAATTGACAGGTAAGTATTTTCAGAACCTCACAGATTATTGAATAATTACAGAAAGGTATTTGCCAGCTGGAATGTGCATACACTAGGCACTGCACTGCTCTGTCCCTGGCACTCTCCTGTACTGTCTTGTGACACTGTTACCCTCACCTGCAGGATCCCCAGAGGAACCGTGTGTACCAGTGGCAAGGGGTGGAACTAGAAACAGGATTTACACAGCTCTCCTTCCCCCTCACCTCGGATCCCATCCAAGGCTCCTACAAAATAGTCGTGCAGAAGAGCTTCTCATCCCATGTGGAGCACTCCTTCAGTGTGGAGGAATTTGGTAAGGAGAGGAATTTGACAGTAATGCCTTTTACTGTGACCACTCTATTTGGAATTTTCTGGGAACAACATGGAGAAGGAAGGGACTGAATATAACAGGCAATGAGGCTCATAGGGGCTGAGCCAGAAAGCGCTAAGTATCAGAAGTGGTTGCTGATTTTATGGCATCTCTACAACCTGCCTGAGCTTGTATTTGCCCATAGTGCACTTGGGAGCACAGGACACACCAGAATTCCTGAGCATGGCTTGTGGCACCAATTTCAGCTGACTTTGCCTTAATTGATTCCAGTTCAGCAGCTTGCTGCAAGTAGCACTAAATATGAAAGAAGAGATGGCAGTATTTTGGTGACTCTCTTTTTCTTCTCTCATCATCTGCACAGGGTCTCTTTCTTCATTCATAATCCTCTCTATTTTTGCTCTTGTTTCTGTGAAAGCTTAGAAAACATGTTTGGTAGAAAACTTGTGATTGAAGAACAATCCATGAATGTTACAAACAGGCTGCTAGGAGAGACTGAGTAAGGAGAAATATGCTGCTGCAGGGAGACTTTTAACCCTCAGTTCTCTAACAAAACTTCTGGGTGATCATAGATATGTATTCTGACCATAGTGTGCATTTGAAAAGGCTTCATGTAGAGTCAGGCTCTCCACTGACTCTACACGAAGACCAAATATTGATCAGGACCAGCAGTTTCTGGAATATGCAGACCATAGCTTGCCATTGAAATACATGGGAGATGACTTATTTGGCTTTGAGTCAAGCATGGTGGATAATTTGACCACAAACAAGGTTATAGGCTTCAACCTGCCATGGTGACAGATGGCCTGTTCCTCCTCCCACAAAGACCACTCTGCATGCCCCACAAAATCAAAGATGTATGTGCCTTTGTTAGCCTCCTACTAAACTGATTTTTCTTTTCTTTGTTTTTCAGTCTTTTTCCTATGAATCTCTCCTATTGCTATTTCTCTTATAGTCTTTTGAGGAAATGTGCCCTGGGGTTAAAACATTGAGCCTTGCCTCCCATCTTAGAGGCAAATTTATGTCTAAACTGTGTAACCCAGGGTTATTTTCCATTTTCTGGATGTGCACCCACTCTGCTGTTATTTCCTTGCACTGTGAAAAAGCCCTCAGCTGCACCACCTGGAAGCAGGACATTACATGCTTCAGTCCAGTCCTGGGCATGAGGAGTTGAAGGCATAGGGCTGCAGGATGCAATATAGGAAGAGGGATGTAACTCAATACTCAGGAGCAAAATATGTGTTTTACTTGTGCCCCTTTATACTGGGCTTTAGTGCTGCCTCTTCCACTTGAAAATATCGGTCTGAGAGTCTGTGGCTAGATCACTTGCACTCTCTGGGTATGCAGGATGATATCCCATGGCACATCCTAGTGAGTCCAGGAGTAACTCTGGATCTCCAGAACAGTAAGAATCAGCCAAGAGAATCAATGATCTGAGGCATTTCAATGTGGTAAATTACAAAGGTGGTGAATGTGCAGCTCCAAGTCCCACCTGCAAATTATGCATTGTGAACACAACACACAGGACCAGCGTGTCCTTCTGAATGGACACAGGTGAAGGATCTGCTCAGCTGTCTGGTGCCACATAAGATTGTGCTGAAAATAAGGGAAGGTAAGGACTACAAACTTCCTTAATTGCCTTTGAGGCCAAACAGTGATGAAGGCTGAAAAAACCTACGGAAGGGGTAGAGAGCAATACTGAAGACCACAGAGAGGTTCATATGAAGATGAACCTGGCTCTGTGCTTGAGTTTCTGTGTAGAGCACAGCTCTCATTCGCTCTTCTCATACCAGACTTTGTCTCTTCTCTCTAGTGCTGCCCAGGTTCGAGGTCCTGGTGAAGGTCCCAAAGATGATCACTATTAAGGACAACGAGCTTCCAGTGTCTGTCTGTGGTCTGTGAGTCACAGAGCTCCAGTAAATCTCTCTTGCTTATCCTTCACTCTGCCTTTCTGCTGTGGACCAAGAGAAGTGCTCGGGGAGGGTTTTTAAATGTTTCCCAGCCATATAGTGAACACTTATTTCATTCTGTCAGTCCTGAACCTGCTGCTTGGCCTGAACATTCAAAGTGAAGGGTCTTTCCTGTATTCCTTAAATGATTATGTTCAACGAATCTGCATCCTTCTCTTCCCAGTTTATCTCACATTTCTTGTCTTTACATTTCTTCGGAGCTTCTCTGCCAATACTGAACCCTCAAATACTCCAAGATGTCAGATAAGACATTATTTAAATTGCTGATGCAAACCCAGTGTTCTCATTTTTAACTCACAAATCACTCCTTCTGAGTACCTGATTGCCTTTCCATTTCTTCATTGAACCCTGAGCAGTTCGTAATACAGGGATGCTCCTGGCTGAAATAATTTTTTTAAGTCAACCTTTCTCTGCAGAGGCATCCCACCTAGAGCAGGATGAATGTATCTTCCATGGATGATGGAAGAATCTCACTATGGAAAAGATGGAAATCATTAAAATGTCAGATTAGTCAGCCTTTAAGAAGTATTAGGAAATCATGCACAGAGGTCTTTAAGGAGATGTGTCGGAGTGTGACTGATTGTCTCCTTATCTGATACATTGTTTAACACATTGCGATTAGGTACACCTATGGGAAGCCTGTTCCTGGTCTGGTGAATGTCCAGGTATGCCGGAAATTTTCCCAGTCTGCTTCAAGTTGTTATGGAAAAGAAGCAGAATCTGTGTGTGAAGAATTCACTAGACAGGTGAGTCCCAGGATCAAAATGTATTGGTTTTCCTGAAGGTTAATGGGCAACGTGGTCTCAAGAGAGATCAAGTGTGTTGGGAGATAGTAGGGCATCAGAGATAGCATTCTCTCCAGGGAAAAGCTGAGAATGCCAGAGGAAGGCATTCTTAACAAAAGGACCATTAAACTGGAAACAGGACTGATGATGAAAACCTGACCCCACTGAAACTAGTGACAAAGCTCCAGCTGCCAGACATGAGGTCTTTGGTATTGATCCACAAACTGAGGAAAGAAACTTTGAAGGAATTTTCTAGCTGTGAGAGGGACTGACTGCAAGCAAGGAGCAAAGATGAGGAGAAAACAAGAAGGCTGTATAGAGAACAAGGAACAAAGATGAGGTGGTATTGTATATGGGATAAATACAGGAGAAAGAGCAACATGATAAAGAGAGGAGACAATGGAAGAAACAAAGAAAAACAGAACTAGAGGAGGAGGGAATTGACAAGGAAACCAATGTGGCCCTTGGAAAACTATGTGTCAGAAACCTAATAGAACACAGAAAATGTGTGGATGAAACACTAGGAAACAGGCTGAACACAAGTTCTGGTCTTGGAGACAACCCCTGAAGAAATTCTAGAATTTCATGAACAGAAGCTAAGCATGATGGGTTTGGGGGTATCTATTCTCATTCCTCAAGGCACAAACTCTCTTCACAGAATTTCAATTTTCTCTCTAATCCCTTGCTTAGGCAGATGCTCGTGGATGTGTTTCTGGTGTGGTGAGGACCAAGGTGTTTCAGCTCCTACGCAAGGGATATGAGATGAGCATTGAGGTACAAGGCAAAATCACAGAAGATGGCACAGGTACGTAGGATATGAAGAAGGCAAAATGATGGCAGGCTGACAGGAGGAACTGGCAAACAGGAGGAAAGTGGAGTAACATGACTAGAAATTCATTAATAATCCCTCTTTACTGTGCTCTGTCTCAGGAATAGAGATGACTGGAACTGGCTCCTGCGGTATCACGTCCACCATGAGCAGAATCCACTTTGACCTGTTGGACTATGTGTACAAACCAGGGATCCCTCTCTTTGGGATGGTAGGGAACTTCTGAGACCACGGGCAATGAATGGCACAGCAAACACACAAGTGCACAATCCCATCAGTGGGGATTCCCACCCTGGGGTGTGCAGGTTGCGTGGTTCAGGAGGCAGGTGATACATGGTGGAGGACCCAAAGGAAGCTGGCTGGGGGAGTTAAAACTACTGAGGAGATTAGGATCCTAATAGATAATTTCCATTTGCTGACCGGGTTGTTTTGCTGAGATTTTTCTCAGTTGTTCCCTCAGACAACTCAGGGCATGCCTCACACATTTCCACATTCTTTTCCTTTGTTCTTCTCTATCAAGAAATATCCTGCCTGGCAAGGAGGAAAAGAGGGGAGAGGATGTATTACTTGGGAATTGTTTTTTGTTGGTAGTCTAAAACCTGAAGTTTGTTATTGCTTTGTTAGGTGAAGCTGGTCGATGGCACTGATGCTCCACTTGCCAATGAAACCATCACGATTACTGTGGGTGGAAACAAATACAAAGGGAATTACACTACAGATGAGCAGGGACAATCCTGGTTTTCCATAGACACTATCAGTTTCACGGAACTCTCCCTGGAAATTCGAGTGAGTGGCAGAGACAGGGGTGAGCCTCTGTCTTTCTCAACAGGGGAAATGTCTATCCGTGGGTTATCAGTCTTTTCTGCCAATTGGAAAGCAAGGCAAATTTCTTGGTGGGTCACCTCACTTCTCTGTGTCTTCTCTGCATGTTATCCACAATCTCCTAAGAATGTGCAATACAGAGTTTTTTCTGTGGACTTTTATGTGACTTTATACCTGATCTTGTTTGGCTATGAACCTTTTATTCTTCTTTCTCAGGCAGATCATAAACCTGAACTGAACTGTTATGACAGTGACTGGATGACACCATCCTATGAGCATACCACGCGCAGAGTAACTCGCTCTTACTCTCTCAGTAAGAGCTTCCTCAAAATTGAGCCAAAGCCTGAGACATTAAGTTGTGGCTCCTCAGCAGAGGTCCAAGTGCACTATACCTTCACACCAGAGGCCATAGGCGAGCAGAAGAAAATTGTCATTTATTATTTGGTAAGACATATTTGGGGTTACGTTGATCTGTGGCCACAGGAAGTAGTGTGTCACCCCTAGCTGTGTTCCATGGTGAGCAACCAGAGCACTGCTAGATGCCCTGTAATGATGGAGAGCATTTGAGATGGAAAGTGTGGCCTGCAACAGTGCAATCTAAATACACTTCCCTAATGTTTCTCTTTTCTCCGTCTTCTGCGTGCAGAATTTTGGGAGCCCACAGTAATGAGGATGGACTGTAACATGCTGGTATTAAAAACTACAAATTTGTTCATTTTAGGGATCATAGGAGAGAGACTAATTGAACTGTGACCAAACAATGACATGTCTCTCTCAGGAGACCAGGAAGAATCACATGAATATCCAAACAGAATGTCTTTCTCCCTAAATTTCTTTTTCCCATTTATCCCATTTAATGACACTAGCAGAGAAGAGAAGAGTAGCTTTGGAGGGCAATAAAAATATCAGTAGAAGAAACACTTCAGTTCTGGTGCACTGAACAGAACATCAGGGGACTTAGGCTGATATCCAAAAAAGAAACCTGTGCTAGAGATGTGCTTATGTACTTATTTTCAAGACTGCTAACAATTAATGAAAGGACAAGATACCTGTTTATCCCAGTTGCATGGGAAAATTGATTTTAAGTATGTGCATACAGCAGGTAAACAAACAGTGAGAGAACATCCATTTTTACAGATGTGGATCCCACATTTGAAATTCGAATATGAAGTTATGGAATGAATATTCCATATCAAAAGCAACTGAATAGAAAGCATTTTTGACTGTGTAAAAGGAATCTTTTTCTAGAAATGAGGGAATTAAAGGAAGCATCTAGGCTATTGCTTACTGCCTGACTTCAGGTACCTTGTTCAAGCTCTTATTCTTTGCCTGTGGTCTTCTGTCCCAATTTCGTGCAATTATAAAACTAATCCTGGTGAAATTTTTCTTCATATTGTTTCACAGTGCAATTGAGAGAGGAATGAGGAGACTTTTTGACCTCTAGTCTGTTCCAGATTGTTAGAAATGTGCAGATGACTCCCAAAGTTATGTGTGGTTAGAGGCAAAATGCATTTGAACCTGATCTATATATGTAATATGTACAAAAGCAAAGTATGATCAGTGTGGTCTTCCTAGAGGCAAATATTTCTGTCTCCAAAGACCCAGTAAATTCCAGCCTGGCACTTAGCAACTTCTTGGTGTTGCTCACACTCTCACAATTAACCCAGTGAATATCTCCTGCCTTTCAACACTGGTAACAACAATTACAGGAAGATTTCTCTGTTACACAGGTGATGGCCAAGGGAAAAATCGTATTAGCTGACACCCATGAGCTGACTGTGAATCCTGGAGATGGTGAGCAGATCTATGCCTTTTTAACATTTCTGATGGTAATTTGGGGCAGGGGGATGTAGATAAATGGCTTCAATTCAAACACTAAATTTAACATTTCATTCAAACTTTACACGTAATGTTTGAATTTTCAAAATTAAGCCTTGAAAGATGAAGTGGCTTTGGTTAGTTTTGTTTTCTCTGAGTTCCAACAGGTGCTATTTTTTTTATGAGAAAATATTAGAAAATTCAACCAAAAATAAGTATAATGTTTTGGACACTTCCTAAAGCCAGCATTGTCTGATGTCCACTCTAGCCTATTCTGATTTGGATGCTTACCAGTGTTGTCAGACTCCCATGTACAACAAGCAGGAAGAGTGTACCTCCATTTCTTTGTCTCTCTCACTTTCCCTAATTTTTCTTTTTTTTTTTGTATTGTTCCTGCCCTGTAAGCATGCAAACACATCCATACCTATATTCTAATCAACACACTTAAATTTATTCATAGAAATGTCCAAGGATTACACGTTTCAGTAACAGAGACAGGCTGTGATGTAACTTTAAATGTCTTTTGAAAATGAGAAGAGGGAGACATTTTGTAAGTCTGTGAGAAGGAGCTGCATTGCTGTGGATATAAACAGATGATGGCAGTAAAAATCTCGTGTGCTGTACAAAGTTCTGTATCCCCACTGGTAGCGGTGACTAAACTCCCACCAGGGCTGGTACCAAGGGATGTTCTGCCACCTTGTCTAGATTGTGACATAAAGCTCAGGCCCAGATAGAGTTTTCCAGCACAGAGGGGCATTTTCTACTGTGTTTGGAGTAATAGTTTGGTGTTCCTGATAAGTACTTGCTTTGCAGCATCCTTGCCAAGTTATTCGTTCAGCCACTCTGCAACCTTGACTGCTGTCACCCTTTGTAATAGTCATGATACTATTTTTTGCATCAACAATTTTTTTTAAGATCTTGGAGCTTGAGGGAATAAAGGGTTGTGAGCATCAAGAAATTATGCCACATGTTAACTGGGGAGAATCTAGAAGCCAAGTTGAGGCCCTCCAAACTCATGTCTTTTGTCAATTCACAATAAGTTTTTGATTGCAGGTGTCTTCAGCAGCAGCCATAAATTTTAGTCATTTTTGTCATTTTATGTCAGTTTTCCAGCCCCTGAGAACTAAAAATGTACAGCATGAGTGAACTTTACTCTTTTTTTTTTTTTTTCTGGGGAAGGCAAATGCATATACTGGAACCTCTTGCTGATTGAACAGCCTTCTGTTCTCTCTGTTAGCTTCTGGGACATTTCAGCTGAGCTTCTCTGTCGAGGCAGCGCTTGCTCCCGTGGCACAGATGCTTGTGTACACCACTTCACCCAGTGGGGAAGTCATCGCCAGTTCAGAAGATTTCCAGGTTGAAATGTGCCTCCCCAATAAAGTGAGTATAAGACATGGTTTATGCAACCCATGCTTGTCTTGTGGACAGCAGCTCAGTTTAGATTTCTGGAATGAAAGCAGGATTCACAATGAAATGAATTCACATGAAATGTTCTGACCAGATGTTGACTGAGAACTGGTGACCAGAATAAGCTACAAAGCTGTGAAAATGAAAAGTGGGGCAAGACAGAAACAAAAAGAGAATCACTCATCCTTACCAATTACATTGATAAAAGGTGAATATACATTAGACACTGGCAGAAATCAGTTCACAAGGCTAGAAGTATCAGAATAATAATGTAACAATGTCTGGAAAAGTGGTTGCTTGAACTTCCTTTTGGATTTGCAGGTGAGATTGAGTTTTGCACCCAAGGAAGGTCTTCCTGCTTCCAATACACGTCTGCAACTCCACACCTCCCCAAGATCCCTGTGTGCCCTGCGTGCAGTGGACAAGAGTGTTCTCCTTATGAAGCCTGAAAATGAGCTTTCTCCCAGCTCTGTAAGTCTTGGCTACTTTTGGTGATGAGCAAGTACAGGAACCAAGCAAGAACCCACTAGCACCACTATAGACACGGGGCTCTGTATGTTTACAGTTGCACTCCTTACACTTTTAGAAGCTGGCACTTACCAATGGAGTGTTAGGTTGTGTCTGTCCCTGTAAGTTGTGACCTGCTGTATTGTTCCCTGTTATTTGCATTTCCACAGGTGTATCAGCTTCTCCCACTGAAGGAAAGCCAGGGTTATAGCTTCAGGGACTACTACTTGGAAGAAGACAATGTAAATCCTTGTGTGTCACTTGACAATCTGTCATTAAATGGATTTCTCTACATACCCATTTCTTCTGATGGTGAAGGAGATGCCTACGAAATTCTCAAAGTAAGCATCAGCCTTTCATTTTTCTCTTTTTTACCCTTTTCAAATTCAGTCTCCTCTCTTCTTCTCACCGGCCCTGAAGGGCTCCTTAATAAAAAAATAAGCTCATTTGCTGTAAACTTGCTCATGTTTTTATGCAAGAAAATAACCAGGCCCAGTTCCCACATCTGCTTAGCCCATAAATAGTAACTGAATGCTTGCCTAAACCATCAAAACTTTGAAAGATCTCCTCATAGCAAAGACACCTGCAAATGGGCTTTGGTAAAGAAACAGTCCTGAGAAATTACCTCTAGTGCCATAATATTAGAAACTCCTCATCTATTCATGTTTCCTTCCTCCAGTTAAATAGATATTTATTAAAGTATCAATTAATTTGATAACCCACAAATCCAAGCATACCCATCCAAACTGTCCTGAACAAAGTTTTTTGGGTACCCTCACTCCAGTGCATTTCACACATGCCATTTTCACCCAGGCAGCTGTCCCCAAGGTAGGTCTGTGGCCTTACCTTTCCATCTAATCATGCCAGGATTTAGCTTTAGTATGAAAATAACATGATGGAGACTCCACACCTGTGTCAGACCAGCCTATCTGTAATTTACAAATGATCCTTTGTTATTCTGATAAATACCAGACTTAGGTACATCCATTCTTGACATACTAAATAAAGTTTATTTTCAAACCATTTCTTTGCATATTTTTTTGTTCTTCTTTCTCTTTGTTTACTAGGAATTGGGCTTAAAAGTCTTCACTAGCAGCAAGATCCATAAGCCTGAACTCTGCGAGCATTATCCAGAACACATGATGGAAAGGAGTTACAGTGGTTCTAGTACCTTCTTGGTTTTACCTCTCACACAACCTCCTAAAATTTACCACCCTGCTTCTTTCCTTCCCTCTTTGAATCTTTGAATATTAATTACACAGGCAGAGCTGATTGTGTTCAGATATGCTGACCTAATTCAGGATCCCTCCCTTCTGGACCTAGTCCATGAAACTGATCCGCCTCTGCCTGCATCTTCCCAGGCAGCCAGATGTGCCTGGCTGGAACTGTGTGTGCTTGGGGACTCCCACACCAGCCCCTACAACAGGGGAGGGCATTTAGGCACTAAAAGAGTCTTTCACCACAAAGCAGTGGGTTTTTGGGGTTTTTTTCCCATCAGATCTGAGTCCAGCTATGAAAACCTATAAAAGGAGCATCTGCTTCTAGGCAGCCACATTCTAGCAATAGCTAGAGAAACAACTAGAGCAAAAGTGGGGAAAGACAAATGAGAAGGTGGTACAAGCCCATGGGTCAATGTTTTACTGCTGGGGGCTGAGAAATCTGGTTGTGTTCCCAGTTTCCCCACTTACATGACTACAAGAGGCTAGGTAGGTCATGTCACTTCTCTACAGGTTCAGTGACTGAAGATAATGATATTGCTTTCATTTGTTTGTTTCCTTTAACAGATCTGAGATTAGAAAGACTATATAAAAGACTCACCTATATCACTTTCAGTTACTGATTTCTATGGTGCAGTACCCCAGCTCCAATTAAACAATTGTAGCTTTGGCTCAAGTGGCAGCTTCTGGCCTTCTTTCAATTTGACCTAAAAGATCAGATCTTTGGTTTAGAAATGGAGGATTTGTCATCAGAGTATGGCTCAAGACAGCTGTCTGTTTTGAGAAGATGTAAACTCCTCTAAGGCTGATGGAAAAGCCTTTAAAAAGGCACAACAAAATGTGAGAAAGCATCTTCCTGTGTATTTGCTAATGGCCAGAGATGTAAAGACCCGTATCCATTTTTTTTTTTAAATTCCTAGACAGAGGGCTAAGTGTAGCTTCTGTTTCTGGTCATGTATAAATACAATCAGTTCTTCAATCAGATTATTGAAATATGTGTCATGGTAATGTCTGGAGACAGTGAGTTTCATGTTTTATTCTGTATTGGTATAGAAATATACCCCCAAAACCAGGATCTTTCATGGTTCTTTTAGCACAATGGGTTTGCTGGCAGTGGGGGAAGAATGCTCACCTTCACCCAACCTCTGTAAGAAGAGCAGCAGCATTAAGAAAAATTAAATACTGAGATGGCAAGAGAGAAATTAATGTTTCCAGTGGCCAAGATGTCAAAGCTGTTCTTTCAATTTTAAAATTTGACCTAAGAATAACAACTACCTAGAGGGAAAGTATGGTCCTGGTTTAGAATGGAGTCTGACACATCTTTTCCTTTCTTCCTGTCTTCAAATGAATTTGCTAGTCACTACAATGAATCTGCATGGAGAACTGAGTTATGACATGGCAGAAGATATGGTTGATGGCAATCCTATGGACACAGTCCGGAAATACTTCCCTGAGACATGGATCTGGGACATAGTTTCAGTCAAGTAAGTGTTTAAGGGAATGTAGAGTATGTGGTCACTAGGCCAAAACTTTGGACTAGGTTAAAGCCTCAGTGGATGCACGGGTATTTCAGTGAGAGGAATATTTCTAGTAGACAAATGGACTTTTTAAGGTTTTTTGAGGATTTTGTATAGGATGCTTTAGAGGAATATGCAAAACCAATGCCTGTATCCCAGCTGGTCAGGGGTTTGCTGTCAGCAGATGTTGCTCAGTAGGCTGAGAGGAGAATAGGTGAACACCGGAACATAACTGAAATTTTCTCTGTCCCTCACCAGCCCTGAGGGAAAAGCTGATCTGGAAGTGACCATCCCTGACACCATCACTGAGTGGAAAGCCAATGCATTCTGCACTTCAGTAAACACAGGCTTTGGCCTGTCCCCGACAGTGTCCCTCAGAGCTTTCCAGCCCTTCTTTGTCGAGCTCACCATGCCCTACTCTGTAGTGCGTGGGGAGTCCTTCACGCTGAAAGCCACCGTGTTCAACTACCTGCCTGCCTGCATCAGGGTAAGGGATGCTCACAGCTTTGCTCAGCCCAACAGCCATGGGGAGACTACAGTGGGCCATTTCTAACGAGCTGTTCCAAGCCTGATGACTGACCTGCAAATGTAATTTCATGTAGGTGTGCATATGTACAAATCCTTGTTGTATTCAATGAAGAGGGAATGTGTTTTCCTGCCAAAGTTTTGAAAGCTGCATTTTATTCAGAGCCTGAAGTTCTGCTATGGAGACACCCAGCCTTGTCATCACAAATTTATGTCACTGTTCTACAGAAATAGAGAACTTCACAGATCACAGAATCATTGCATACCCAAATGGAAATTTCAGGTTCACCAGGGTGGATATTTATGTTCAGCCTTTAGTTTCATATCACAGAACATTTCTGTAATTTGTTGTATCTGTCCCTAAAATACTATAGGAGAGCTATATGGCTTTGCCATTCTTACCTGCATTTTTTTCTAGGAAAAAAAAAAAAAGACAAGTGAAAATTTTGGAAAGAATTAATACAGAATCTCAATCACCTTTGCTTAGTTTTTTTTATAAATACCGATTTTTATTCTAAAAGGAATGAAGCTGAACCAAGGAGGGGCACTTATCCAGTCATTCCAATGCACTCTTACTTATGTCCCTGTATTTCCTGTTTTGTTTGTTATTTTCAGGCTCTTTATTCCACTTTTCCTTGTTCCCTTATTCTATTTTTCCTTGTTCCCTTACTTGTTCCCACTGCTGGTGTTTTATCTCTTCACCTAACCAACCAAGAGGGAGATCTTTAATTCATGGCACAACTGGTCTGTGCTATTCATTTTCCCAGAATCGATTTCCTTCCCAAAGATCCTGTTCTCTACACTTACCTCCCTGATCTCCTACAACTGTACAAATTTCAGTCATTTCCTCCTTTATCAGGCAGTTCTTGCTCTGCAATTCCCATAATGTCCTCAGAAACCATGGTATAACCAGCTCCACTACTTATTTCCATGTACTGCACTGTCTGCAATAACTCCAGTTTCTCTACAAGTTCAAACCTCATGATGCCTCTGTGAACACCTGGCAGGTCAGTGTGTCTCTGGCTGAATCTACCGATTTCCTGGCTGTACCAGTGGGGAAACGGGAAGAATCCTACTGCATCTGTGTGAATGAAAGGAAAACTGTTGCTTGGGCAGTAACACCAAGATCTCTAGGTAAGAGACCAGATGACAAGGAGATACTGGGGTCAGATGTCAGTGTATGGCATCAGATCTTTGGTGTGATGATCTTGGTGACTCCAAACCTGTTTGGAAGGATCTTTTCTGTTTGAAGTCCAACCCTGAGGTTGAGACAAGGCACTGGGTGTAGTGTTTCCAGGTCCTAAACAAACATTACAGGCCATGGCTTTCCCAACATTCTAACAGAAATCATAAATTGCCTTAATGCATGAAAAGAACCCAGTCATTCCAGCTGTGGAGCTAAGAATGTCTTGTCTTAACCTGTTTGGGTCTGAAATTTTTTAATCAAAGCTTGCTTTCTCTGAAGCCTCACAGAAAAAGATCATTTGATTTATGAGCCCATCACTACTCTTCATGCCAATGGACTAAAACATGCTTGGGTGGGCATCACAAAGGAGGGGATCTGGAAGGCTGCATCTGCATCAACATAAAACCCTGTCTCAGATTCAGTTCTCCTCTTGGAAAAGCTTCTCTGTAATGCATCACAGAGTTCCCAGCACAAACACACACTCATATTTCCCTGGCTCTGCCTGGCAGGACTGACTGACTCCTGTTTTCTCCAGGGCAGGTGGAGTTCTCAGTGACCACTGAGGCCCTACAGAGCCAGCAGCCCTGTGGGAACTACATTGTGGAGACCCCTAAGAAAGGGCGGAAGGACACGGTCATCAGGCAGCTGCCGGTGGAGGTACGTGGGCTGCTAATTTTGGTGGCACAGAAAAGTGGCAATAGTAGCAGCAAGAGGTGCTGTGTGATAAAGGTTTTCTGGTTTAGCTGTGGGAGCAGCAATAGTGGCTTGTGGGACTCTTATTCTACAAGCTTTTACAAAAGAAGCACTGATGAATCTAACACAGGCCAATAGAGCCCGTAACTCATAATGTTGCCATCTCACAAAGCAGAGTCTTACATTACATAGAGGGACAGGAATAATAACACAGGCAATAATGACAGGCTTTTCTGAGACACATCGTATCAGAGATAAATGAGAAATCCTTGTGTTTGCCTGTAATAAATCACAGGGATAGGCTGAGAATGAAACACTAGCCAGAAAGCTTATGTTTCTCCTCCAGCCCATGGCCAGTACTCTGGAATATGGAACAGTCACCACAATCTACAAAAATTTCTAAACAAAACTACCATCACTGCTTTGAATTGTGCTTATTACATTTCTAAGAATGTTCAAAACAGCGTAACTAACCTTTTTTTTTCACTTTCTTTTGTAGACTTCTTTTCTTAAGCAGTGTTTTGCAATGAAAAAACATAGCTTTTCACCTAAATTGCCAGTCATAAAATTAATCCTCAGCATAAAATTCCCAGTGATGCTACACATTAGCAAACAAAAAGTACCAGCTTGTTGTATAGGGAAATCCATATAATAATAAGTCCTCTTTACATTGCAGACATTCCAGTTTTCAGTAAGGCAGAGCTAGGATTCATGTAGCCTCAGGAAATGTTTTGCTAACCAGAATGTAATAATGGAACAACATTCCTATCTGGCAGACTTTTTTTTTTTATTTTTTTAAAGTTATTTACAAATGGATTTGAATTTATAATACACAAACAACTGTTCAACATTTCAGGAAATGTTCCTAATTTCATGTATACATTAGGAAAAAGACTGTTATGTTCTTTGAAGATACAGGAAAACAGAGCACTGTAAAGTCTTTTCTCACAGATGGCAGGGGAATGTAAATTACTGAACAAGTACTAGAGTTAGTTCTGTCAGGGTGTCTGAGAGATTGCTCATCCTATCCTGTTATTGTAATGTGGTAATTAATCTACAGCAAGCCCTGACGGGACAGAATTGGAGATTAGCATCCAAGGCTGAACAATTAATTAGCAGGGATGGATGCAGTGTAACACGCTTGGGGTGAAGCTGCATTGCCTTGAGCACATGGATGACAATATTCCCTGCAGCAGGCAGTGCATCCCAGAGGGAGAGAGAAGTGAGTGTGCCAGAGGCCACAGGGCATCTTTCTGCCCCTGGAGAAACCAAGCCTCTCTGAAAGGAAGATCTTTCAAACAATTTCAGTTTGTATGTTCTAATTTCCTGCTGAAAATCAAACAAAACAATGGATTTCTCATTTATTTGTATATCAGAATGACATACTAAAACAAACAAGAAGGTGACTTTTCAAACAGAAGCATTTAACTCCGTTACAGTTTATCAAAAAAACTTTTTGCTTTTTTTATTTTCCTGCTCTTTTAATACTCTTCTGTCTTTTCATACTGAAGAGTGAGAGACAACATATTCTCAGTGTGAGAAAGTGAAGACAATAACACCGTTGTTTACATGCTAGGGAAAAAATATCATCTGGCAAAACTGGAAACCAGTAGTGTAACAATGGGAACTGTCCTATTTAGAAGTTAAAAAATTGGTGCAAGGATGTCACTAAAATAAATTCTGACCAAAAAGAAGTTTTCTTGTAAACATTTGATACATGAGTTTTCTGCAAAATATTTTCACCCATCTCAACAGAAAAGAGGGATTATTTTCTGACTTCAGAGACTAGACTAAAACTTATAAACCAGTTGATTGTGGCACACATTTAAATTTTGGTTGTTGTAGCATGTCACTTGTAGGTACATTGGAGTGTTGTAGCTGCCACCAGTCCAAGTTCTTGCATACATATCCACCCAGTGTGCCAGGCACTCAGCCATCACCACAGCCTGGAGAGCTCTGCTAGAGTGGGCCACTGTGACTGGCAACTTGGATGACCAGGTCCCATGTCTCTGTTGATAACATCACCTTTCATGTTATCTCCATCCACAACCTGTGAAGCTGCAGGGCCTCTCTCAGTAATAAAAAAGAAGAGAAAATGTATTACATTTCATACTTGTAATTAGCCAGTATGTTGCAGTCCTCAATTACCCTCAGTTTAGCACATGGAGGAGAAAAATTTCTAGGCAATTTTCAAAGAATGCCTTTTACATTCCCTTTTGATATTTCTTCCTTTTCTGTTGCTTTTGTTTCTCATTTTTTGTTGTTTTTTTTTCCTTGCCCTTTTCCCCAAGCCGGAAGGGACTGAAGTGGAAACCACGTACAACTCTCTGCTCTGTGCATCTGGTAAGAGCCATTTGTTTTCCAAAACTTCCTTTGCTGAGGTAGAAACTAAAGACAAAGGTGGAATAAAAGGTTTGTGAGTGCTCCACTGAGAAGAAAGATGTAGGGATCTGATAAAATTGAACAAGCTAGATGTATGTCCAGATGTTAGTGAAAACATTTCTTCCTGTAGAAGAGCTGAGGATGTAATAATGTCTGCAATTAGAGAGGGAGGAGCACATCTTTTAAGAAATTAGTCTGGCCAGGTCAATGTAAGGAGAGAGTATTTGGGATTTGATGGAGTTATCTCTAACACCTTCCATTTAACAGCTGTAAAATCACAAACCAGACTCTGCAGTAAGCCAGGTCTGCCCACCAAAGCAGAAAACACCAGAAAATTAGGCTGGAAAAGGTGTATTTGTCAGTCAAGGCCGGTTGAATGTTGCCACGTAGAAGTCCATAGCAATCTGCATGTGAGGGTATTGCAGGCCCAATACAAAACTTGCAGGATGGGAAACTTCATCAACAAAATTACAGATGAATGGATTTGTTTAAGTCAGGAAACTCTTCTTCAAGGGATAGTGTCTCACCCATAGATAGCTGCTACCCATGCATTGTAGATTCATCTGGAATTGTAACCAAATTTATCTGCTTTTTATCCCAGAAGAGTCAGTGTCAGAGAGAGTCTCCTTGGTCCTCCCAGAGACTGTGGTGGATGACTCAGCCAGAGCTTATTTCTCAGTGCTAGGTAAGTGAAACCTCCTTGAAGTGTCACATGCTATTTTGGAACACTGCCCTTCAGGCTGTTCTCAGCCTAATGGCCAATTCACACACTGTTAATTGCACTGCCATGCAGAACCTGCACCAGCTCCTCCAGATGCCCTTTGGCTGTGGGGAGCAGAACATGGTCCTCTTTGCACCCAACATCTACGTCCTGGACTATCTGAACAAGACAGGGCAGCTGAGTGAAGAGGTCAAATCCAAGGCCACTGGGTACTTAGTGAGCGGTGAGCTTTCACCTTTGTTCATCTCTTCCCTTGGCTACTGGGTAAGGACACATCCACTGGCCTGGATGATCTGTTGGAGGCTTTCTCTAGAAGGGAGCAGGTACTGGCAGGTTAGGGCTATACAATACAGTATCTGTAAGAAGGAATCCTACACTCAGCTGAGTTGGAGGCAGAGGATGAGAGACAACAGCATCCAAACAAGAACACAGAAAAAGACCAGGGCTGGCAATAACTCAGGATTGGTCTCCATAAGAAAAGGGTTATATGAAATATATAAATCAGACTATTACCATTAATCATGGCAGCTGCTTACGTAGATCTTGAATTCTCCTTAGGACTGAGGTGTAGAAAGTACTGCTCATCTTTGACTGGGGCAGAATTTTACCACATTAGCTAGGGCATGATGACAGACACAACAGTACGTATACACACGATGAGCATCTGCCAACTAGCAAGGGGCTGTTGTGACTCAGTATTTTTGCAGGAAAATTTTTGCAGGAAAATTGCATTTCTTCCAGAGAAAAGTATCCTGTTTTCTGCATTTCTATCGTGTGTAAGAGTCACATTTTTAATCAGCTCTCCTCTGGGAACCACTCTCTCACCTGTCTCAAGTCTGGGAGGCATTTGCCTCCTCATGAAGTCTTGGGCAGAGAGCAGCAATGATTGCAGATAGTCAGTTTCCAGGTGTTTTTGGAGAAAGGAAGAGCACAAGAATAGAGATATTCAGAGCTGGGGATTTCCCTGAACTTCCTTTGTAATACTGAGCAGCAGTATTACATTAGTACATATTTGTGCCATAGCCAAGGGGGACAGTGTGTCCCATGTCTGCTGCATTTCCTTTGCATGGCTCCTTGAAAAGCACTGTGGAAACTGAAATATATTTTCTCTCTTCATTTCAGGGTATCAGAGGCAATTGAAATATAAACACCGGGATGGTTCTTACAGCACCTTTGGGCCACGTTATGGGCAAGCTGGAAATACCTGGTAAGACTTCAGCACCTCTGGCTTTTCCTTCCTGCTTCTCATGTCCTCTCATTCCTCAGTGTATTCTTGGCTTTTCCTTCCTGCTTCTCATGTCCTCTCATTCCTCAGTGTATTCTTGTGCTTGTCCATTGTGAAATTTGGAATGGAGGTGGAGATGAAGTTAAATGGGCCCTATGACCTCTGATTGATACAGTGCCTACTCAGGATATCTTGGTTTGCTCTATCACTTTTAGGCTCACAGCCTTTGTCCTCAAGTCCTTTGCCCAGGCCCGGCATCACATCTTCATAGAGGAGAAGCACATCCAGGATGCTTTGAACTGGCTTACTCAAAAGCAGAAGGAGAATGGATGTTTCCGCAGCTCTGGGACACTCCTGAACAATGCTATGAAGGTAAAGTGTTGGCTCCACGTGGGTTTTGTCAGGCTGGAACTTGACCATAAGTCACTCTGGCACTGACAGAGTAATTTCAGCACTTGGGGTGTGGGAAGGAATGAGGAGTTATATATGTGGGCTATCACAGGAGCAGGAAGAAGTCAGCAGCATCTTCTGAAGGACTCAGCATGAAAAGTAGGCCAGGAAGAATTTGTCCCTGCAGGATGTAGATGTGTAGCACAGAGAGAAGCTAGTGGCACTGTGAGGGATCAACAAGTCCTTTTGTGTTTCCCTGCAGGGTGGAGTGAATGACGAGGTCACACTGGCAGCCTACATCACTATTGCACTGCTGGAGATTCCCCTGCCTGTAACCGTACGTGTCTGCACCCCAACCTGAGCCACATGGTACTAACCTGCCCGACTAGTGTCCCCACACCCAGATTATCAGGTCCCTTTACCTTTGGAAAGAAGAAATCCTGTCTGAATAGTCTTTCCATTTAAGCCTAGACTGAAGGAACATCTTCCTCCATTTTCCTCCCCTGTCCCATCCCAAATACACATTTCACTTAACATTTTTCTGAGTTCTTTAGTGGATTTGCTCCATACAGCTTGCATTGACACTGGGTTAAGTGATATTTGATTCTTTAAAGTGAGCCAAATAGGTTTTCCACACCTACAGAAATTTCCTTTTGTTTCTTAGCATAGTACAATCCCGTTGAACCACTCTTGGGCCTATTGGGTGGATACAACACCACAGGTCTGTAAAAAAGGATGGCACACTCAGGAATTCATTGTCATTTTCTCTACTTCTTCTAGATGGGAAATCCCCATCCTTAATGCTTGAAGAATAAGGTATATCTATAGGGAATACCATCATGGCACTATGAAAAGCCTGTGGCCTACTTAAGAGCAGTGTGGGTTTGGTCATTCTGACCCCCTCACTTTGAGGCAAGGTGGTAGTGCAGGTAAAACTGGGGTGTGAATCACAGCAGAAGGATTGCTGAGCCAGTGTGGTTGCCAGGCTGTTGCAATCCCTCTGCTCCAAACGTAGTAGGGACTGTTCTGTGTCTGAAGTTTTTTTCATGTGTAGCAAGAACAAGCAGAAGGAATTATTTTGTCAGTAAGGTGACATGGATGGCACTAACTTCACTAGAAGAGCATTCTTTCTTTGTTATATGTTGTGTTTAGAAACCAAGCTCTCAGGCAGAACAATATTGGATAGTGAGGATGTTTTCCAGCTCCCTGTCTGAGTCCAAAACTGGCACTGAAGGTGACAGAAGGGGTTTGTCACAATTTGAGTGGGGTATGGGAGCATTTCAAGTTAAATTAAGATTAGCACAGTCCTTAAGTAATTAAGGCTCATATAGAGTATTTCTATAAGTAAAATAGGCCATGTTAAACCTTCATAAAAACCTTAATAGCACTGTCCTTAGCATGTATGTCTACTGTCACATCCTGCCATTAGACTGCACTCCTCCCCAGCATTTACCTTACAAACAGTAGTAAGCATAGACACAACCAAATTTGGTTTTATTCTTTGCTTTCTTAAAACCTGCTTAAAACTGCTTCTTCAAAAGGGATCACAAATTATTTCATCTTCCAGTACACACACAGTTAAAGCCAAAGCACAAAGCAACAGAAATATATGTCTTTTCCTTCTAGACCCTTTATTAAGCTTTAAATGTGCTGTTAGCTTTCAGGTCATGGCATACTCTCCCTGCAGAGCTACTTTTTCAATTTTATAGCAGCTTTTCCATCACAAATGAGGAGTAGTCGTGTCTTGCTGAAAGGTTGTGGTGTAACAGTGTCTGTTAGTCATAACACCATGCAAAGTAGCTACATTTTACTTCACTGTAGTGATTGCACTCTTTAACCAATACATGAATTGTTAATGTGAACATTACAAAAAACATTGTAGAAAATACAAAACAACACACTTTTTTATCTTGTGCAGAGTTCACCACCAAACTACAATCTACAAACTACAAGCAAGTGAATTTTTTTCAAAATGCCTTGGAAAAGGGGAAAAAAACAAAAAGGAAAGGATAGAGCATAGGGTGAAAGCACAGAAGAGTCTCAGGATAATAGCTGCAGGAGGAAAGCAAGTATTTAGTATGCTTAGAGCAAAGAAATATTTCAGAGAACTCCTCTTACTCCAGAACACAATTAGGCCAGTTCTTCTCAAGGAAGAAGGATTGGAGCCCTGCTTCACAGTCTTGAAATCAAACTCAGAACAACCATTACAACAAGACATATTTAAAATATTAGATTCAAGAAAAAGAACAGCCCTTGGCTGCCCATTTCTTCTAAGAATTCTTAGGTCTGGAGGGAATTTTATCTTTTGCAATGGTAAAATCTTTATCAGGCCAGAGAGTAGGATGCTAAGGGTCCACAGGTACCATCCCTATTCCTGTTGTTCTAAGATGGAGCTCACTATGATAACCTCCAGTTCAGCCTCTCTCTCCTTCCAGCATTCGGTGGTGCGGAATGCTCTGTTCTGCCTGGAAACAGCAGCCAGTCAGGAACAAAACCATGTGTACACCAAGGCACTGCTGGCATACGCCTTTGCCCTGGCAGGGAACAGGGAGAAGCGGAAGGCATTGCTTGACTCACTTGAAAAGGAAGCAGTGAGAAAGGGTGAGTGTTCCTGGTGGGACATGCCTTTCACCAGCCTTACACCTTCCCTCGCTGAAATGGCTTTTGCTGGTGGGGCAATGGCAGCAGGCACTGGCCAGTGTGGGTAGGGAAAGGTGCAGGGAGGGGAAAGACTTGTGCAAAGGGATTACCTTTTTGAGAAGTCCTTCTCAGGGCCTGCTCCTTCTTCTCTGCCCAGAGGGAGCTGAGCAGGAAGCACCAGGCACCATCCCCTTGGTGCTGAGCCCTTGGGTGGCTCTGCTCCCACCTCTCCTCAGCCCACTGCTCTCACCACTCCAGCACTGCTTAGCAAAGGCTTAGCAATGCTCAGGAACATCCCTTCCTTCCAGGCCAAGGGCTCAACATAGAACAAAGGTGACCTTGCAGAGGACAAGGCAGGTCAGTCAGAGAAGAGATGGGTGTGCTGAGAGAAAAAATGAGCTCACAGGGCATTTTGGAGGCCACAGCCCAAGTTCTGAGTTGTCAGGGAAAATCCTATAATTCTTTGGAATTATTCTGCCTAAGTCAGGCTGGACAGAGGGTTTGGCCAAGCAGTGAGCAGTAGCCCATAAATGTGAGTGTGGAGTCCAGGACAAAGTACTGGATGAGGCTCAGCACTCCCATACTCATTGTAAAGCTGCAAAATGTGTAAGCCTGACCCTTCCCACTTCACCCTTCGTGACAGACATATCCTGGAGGCTCCGTCCTCCCAGCTGGAGCATCAGCGGCTCCAGAAGCCCCTTGCAATATTTCATAGTAACAATTGCTTGTTGTCTCTGTCCCTGCCTCCTGTGAAGATGGGTCTGTTCACTGGCAGCGGCCTGGCAAGGAGCCCGAGGCTGATCTCCCGTACTATCGCCACCGAGCTCCCTCTGCGGAAGTGGAGATGACGGCCTACGTGCTCCTGGCTCACCTCAGCTCGCAGCCAGCCCCTGCCCAGGAGGAGCTGTCCTTTGCATCCCTTATTGCAAAGTGGATCAGCAGTCAGCAGAATCCCAGTGGAGGCTTCTCCTCCACCCAGGTGAGCTGCTTCCCTCTGGCCACGCCACACATCAAGGTCAGAAGGTGGGACATGTCAGAGAGCCAGGTGGGAGCACAGGAAGTTTTGTCAGGAAGGTGGGAACTGGAGCCCTGCAATAGATCCACGCAGTACCTCCCATGGTTGTCACGTTCTCCAGAGGCTACAGACAAATATGTCAGGTAGTGCCCCTGGGAAGGGAAATATGCTGGAGCTGCTCTTTCCTTTTGTCTTGTCTTCCTAACACTGGGGAAAGTGAGGCTGCAGGGGAGGATGCCAGCTGACAGAAAGGGCAGCCTGTGAGAGGACAGGCTGTGGAGAGGCTAATTGCATCCCATGGCTGCTGGGACTCATCTCTTTCAGGACACAGTGGTGGCTCTCCAAGCCTTGTCCCTGTATGGAGCTGCCACCTATGCCAAGAGCGGGGCGGCATCCAAAGTGGCCCTGCGGTCTGCAGGGGATTTCCAGCAAGACTTCCAAGTGGATCCCAGCAACCGGCTGCTGCTGCAGCGCGTGCCCCTTCCCCAGGTGCCAGGGGAGTACAGCGTGGAGGTGTCTGGTGAAGGATGCATCTACCTGCAGGTGAGGGTGATGGGGACAGCTGGCATCCTGCGAGGGGAGTGCCTGGCCAGGCTGGAGAGGACAGAATCGTAGGGGCATCCAATTGTAGGGTTGGAAAAGAGCCTGAGATCATTGAGTCTAAGATCAGTAGTCAAAAGACTCTAAGGCCATTTAGTCCTTCCATTGAGGTAGAGGAGAGTGAAGAACAGAGAGAGGAGAAGTGGGAGGCTGTGGGTAAAGGGAAGTGGACAGAAAGACTTGAGGAATGTGGAGGAGAAAGATTAGGAGAGGAGGGAAGGCTCTGCAGTGTGGAAGAGCTGTGAGAAGTGGGCTGGCTGTGTGGGGCGAGGGTCCCCTCTCTCCCTGTTGAGCACACACACACACACACACACACACACACTCACACCGAGCTGCTGCTGTCCCCTAGACAAGCCTGAGGTACAACGTGCAGCCCACACAGGAGAAGGCGCCCTTCCAGCTCCGTGTGTACACAATCCCAGAGGTGTGTGTGGACTCCAAGGCTCACAAGGTCTTTGACATTGGCATAAATGTCAGGTGAGTCTGTGCTTTGGTCTGAGATTTCCTGCAGAGCCATGGGAGCTGGGGGAGGTCTGGTTGTCCCTTTCCTGGGAAGGTGGGCAGGAGGCAGCTGTTGTGTGAGGAGAGGCTCTGGAGGAAGAACTTGTCCTGCTGTGTGGGCAACCCAGGGCTGGGCTAGTGGGAGGCCGTGTAGGTGACTAGCAGAACCTGGCACAGCTGGAGAAGAAGGTGCTGCACTGCCTGGCCTTAGTGGGGTGCCAAGTGTTATGGAAAAGCTGGAAGTGTGCCCAGCTCTGGGCTGATGTGCACTGAATCTTTGTGGCTTGGTTCCTCAGTTACACAGGGGAGCGCAATGTCTCCAACATGGTGATAGTTGATGTGAAGATGCTGTCAGGATTCGTCCCCTTGAAGTCCTCAGTGAGGAAGGTAGGGTGTTGTGTGAAGCATTTCTTGAAGATATTTGTCCTTAATCTAGGGCATCAATTTCATTATTTAAATTAGCATTTAATTATTTTCTTTGTATCTTCTCTCTCTTAGACCTTTCCATCTTTTCCTCCAGGTCTTCCACCCCTCAGCTCTGGAGTAGGGATGAATGAGGGATGCCAGCAGCAGCATTCCCTTCCCTCTCCTCTAGCTCTTGTGGTAGCTTGCAGTTATATGTGCTGTTTAGCCCCAGATCGAAAGCTGGAAGGACACCATGAGATCTAGTATCAGGGACTCAGGGGCCTAGGGAGATACATGACAGCCATGACAATTCTGGTCCCTCATTCAATTTTTGTGTCAAGAAGGTGAAAGAGCCTGAGATGGCGGGAGTTGGGGGGAAACTTAGTACGTGGGGCTTCATAGCAGAGTGTTTGACAAGTCCTCTGGGAAGTGCACTTCCTGTGCTTTACTTCTCAGCACCTACATAGTGAGCCTTTAGTGGTGGGGAGAAACTCAGGAGGATTTACTGACTTCCCTTCAGATCATCAACCTCCTCCACAACTCCTTTTTCCAGCTCTCAAACACACGGTTTCACCAGATCCAGCGAACAGAAGTGAACTCAAACCATGTTTTGCTGTACATCGAGCAGGTGAGGACGAATCCAGGGCTGCTGTGGGGCACGGCTTGAGCTCTACAGCACAGTGGCAATAGCACAAAATGGGGGTGGAGAGCATTGCTAACATCTCCGGGCTTGTAATCACAGAGCATAAACAAATCACTCACCTTGTCAGTCTCATAGGGGACAACTCTCTCCCAGCCCTCAGCAGACATTGCCTCCACCCTGGGCACAGATCAGGCTCTGAGCTCCCCACCAGCAGAGCCTCCCCGAGGCTGGGGAAGGGGCTCATGGTTCGCCCCTGCCCCTCAGCCAGTCCTACAGCCCTGTGTGCCCCCCTGAGCATGGGTGGCAGGGGTGAGCACGGGGGCCTGGGGTCAGTGCAGAGGCACAGGGGAGCCCCTGCAGTGCAGAGCCCCCCTGAGCCTCTACTGCTTCCCTTCCCCAGCTGGGCAGGGAGAGCCTCAGCTTCTCCTTCACGGTGGAGCGGGACATCCCCGTGCGGGGCCTGAAGCCAGCCCAGGTGAAGGTCTATGACTACTACGAGACAGGTGAGTGCCTGTAGTGCCCGTGGGAGCGAGGAGGGGCACGGGGGCTGTGGGGACCCACAGCTGCCCCAGCCTGGCACTGCCACCCCAGCCCTGCCTGAGCCCTGGCAGCGCAGAGGGGCTGGGGTGGAGCCGTGGATGCCAGGGGTGCCGTGTTCATTTCTGGCCCTGGAGCGTGGCCTGTGCTTCCAGGCAGACCTGCTGCTCCTTGTGCCTCTGCTGTCCTGGCTGCTGTGCCAGGCTGGCAGTGACAGAGCAGTTTGTCCCCACCTCAGCCCAGTGTGCTGGCAGGAGCTGTCTGAGCAGCCCTTGGCTACCCTGGGGTGGAGATGCCCTGGAGATTCCCTGCTGGAGCTGCCTCTGTGGGTGGCTCTGCCTTGCTGCCACTGTCCCCAGACAGGGCTGGCACTGGGGCTGTCCCCACCCCAACTGGGATCTCTGGGGGAAACTGGGATGGTGGCACCAGCCTGCTCTGGGGGCCTGGGAAAAACATCCCCCTGCCAACAGTGCCAGGGATCATGGCAGCTCACTCTGCCTTCCCTTCTCTTTTCCAGATGAGTTTGCCACACAGGAATACAGCGCTCCCTGCACCACAGGTAGGTGCACATGAACAACTGAGGTGCTCCAGCAGGGACTGTTGCAAGTTGTCTTGAACTATAGTCTTTGTAGACCTTTGTAGACCTGTTTCCTGGGCCTGTGTCTTCTCTAAACATTTTCTTCCCTGTGCCTAATGCAGTCCCCATCTCAGTACAGAGCCCAAAACAATGCTTCCTCCAAACTTCCTCCATAAGATCTGATACAGCTTTCATTTTCCTTCCCTGAGTATCGCAATTTCAGTGTTACTGCCTTTGTTTGTACAGGGGCAGTTGTCTTTTCCTCTGTGTTAACGTCACTTTATGTAAATAAGTTTCAAGTCTCCCTTGGGATGGAACATCGCACTCAGATTTTTGTGTCTCTGCCCTTTTTAGGGCCACATCTGCTATGCTGCAGACACTGAAATGTACTGAGGAATTGTCTCCCAAATATATTGGTGAAATGTTGATGTTATTCACATCTCTTTAATGAGGACCTCTCAAACTCTTTCCCAGATCAATTTTGCTTTCCAATGGGAAGTGCAGTTGCTGAGAGAGAATGTGTGCTTGGATAGCTCATGTATCTCCCGGATTAATCTGCCTCCCCTCTCTGTAGCATAGATATTTTGAATGTGTCCAGTCATTCCCATTCTGTCTGCAACTAGGCATTTTTAAGTGAAGCAGTTTCTCATAGTTTGACAGGGCTTAAACTCACATAGCCACCAGAACACAGCAATATCCGGGACTCTGGATACCACTCACCAGAATATTTATCTCACTTTGTCCTTTTCCCACCTCCAGTCAAGGCTGAACAAGGAAATTCCTGAAGAATGCATCTTGTCGGAGCCTTGCTGTATCAGCTCATGTGTCTCTGCCCCTAGAAGATCTTGTTAAGGGAGGGGTATTTAAATGTTAGAGGAGGACGCCTCAGAAGCAAAAAGGAAGGAACACTATAAATAAATTAATTCTTGATACTCATCAGATGTCTCTGGCCTTGTTTTCTGTTATTGTTATGCTTATTTCTGTTCCTATCCATGTCATGGCCTCAGATTTCAATCCAGATCCATCCATGGCAAGGTGGTGTTTGGGAACTCCTCCGGAATACCAGAAGGCAGACAAGTTTTAGCAGTTGGGAGATTTTTCTCCATCCTTGCCAGCTCTCTAAGGGGAAGACATCATATCTCATCCATGATGCACTGGAAGTTTGTCTTTCTGCTTCTTCAGAGGGTGTTTTCTGCAAGGTTGGCCATAAACCTCTGATCACATACTGCCTTTGATTGCACTGTGAAATCACTGCTGTGAGGTGCAAGGATGCTGTGAACCTGTCCAATCTGATCTTTTGCAGTACCCCAGATAGAAGTGAAGGGACGACCTGTGTATGTTCCCTTTCTAGCAGTGTCTCCTTGTTTCTAAACAGCTGAAGTGAAAGCAGGGATGGACTGGGACCTTAAGAGTGTCATTCGTAGAATTTTTTAGGTTGGAAAAGGCTTGAAGGTCAAATCCTGCCATTAACCCAGCATTGCTCAGTTCACTGATAAACCACGTAGGGCTGCTGTCACTGAAGCTGGTTCATTCCACAGACTCCTCTGAACAGAGGTGCCAAAAGTCCTTGACTGTGTAAACCCCAAACATCACAGAAGACAAAGTGACATAATATTAATATCTAGCAAAATAGATGAAGAATTTTATTTGCTCTCAATGACACTGTTTGTACAGGCATATTAAATGAAAAATTGGATGGAAGAGCCAACTGTGCATAGTTTGGATGCACAACATGCCATACCTTACAATAAGCATTTCATGAGAACAAAGAGTCACGTAAGATTTTTTTGCATTCAAAAGTTAAAACCACAAATTCACAAGACAAAACGAGAAAGGGGGATCATTCCTGGAGGTGTCTAAGAGGCCTGTAGACAATTTTATCAAAGCACCTATATGATTTAAATGAATGTATCATTTAAACTAGACTTAGGCAGGTAGGTTAGTGGCAAATGCCATTAGCTGCTCCTTGGGAATCTCCCAGAAGCAGCAGACATGAGATAATGGAAATTTCCACAAGAAGGCACAAGCTTCAGCTGGAGAACAAGCCACTGTAAGTTAGCAGCTGAAGGCATAACGCACGCACACAACCCTCTTGACCCCCAGGCACTCTCTGATCGTTGAAGAGGGCAGACTATGTCCCCTCCTGCTCTTCTACAAACAAGAAACAATCCCAGGAGGGGTGTCTACAGGGAATGTCACAGAGGACGATTTTCATGTAATATTAGTTGATCTTCCACACTGCATAATGGTGGTAGGCATGGACAGGCCTCTGCAGAGACCAGTTCAGTAGAGGTTATGGTTTGTAAGCCAGGGGAGAGAAATTTTTCCCAAGAACTATCTATCCTGCTCCATTGATTAGACTGCATCTCAGATGATAAGTTCAGAGAACATAACACAGAGACAGATATATTAGAAGGGCTGACCCCCACTTACATCATTCTGCCCTCTTTTTTTCCCTCACTTGTTAGCCTTATTTCCCTGCACACAAGCATTGTTAGATGGGTTACACTTTAACCTAAGAAGCCAGGGAGATTAAAGCTATGGCTGAAAGATGAGCAGGAAAAATCAGAAGCGGAAACAAACTGTTCAAAAATAATTGGTGAGTACAGTTAATTTATTTGTAAAGTTCACTTTCCATTCCATGTGATCATTATTAATCTGTCACACTGTGTGGTGGTGGTGGTGAGGCAGGCGGGTTCCTGCATCTGGGAGTGTTCTTCAATCATTTCCCTGGTCTACTGCCTCTGCAAGGATGAAAGAAGATGGGAGGGAACAGAAGTCAGACAGATACATCCATCTGCTTTCTAAGGCTGAGAGACAGAGGGAGCAAGATATGGATGTGGAAGCCAGGTTGTGTGGGAAGCACAGTACAGGACAGAGAGCTGCTGTTTTACCAGAGTGAAGGGTCATCCACAGCACTCACTACTTGTGTCACCTTTGAGGTTGTGTGAGGTTGAGAGAGGGCTGAAATTCTCCCTGACCCACTGGGAGAGAGAAGCAGAGTGGGATTTGTCACGACCAAAACGTACACAGGGGCACAGTGCAAGCAGGCAAGGCTGGTCAGTGTGGCAGTGAGACATGTTCTGTTTATTTCTCTGCAAAACACTGAAGAAATATCCTGCACTCCTGCTATACAGGGCAGGGAAGGAAGCTTGGCAACTGGGATCAGCCTTTTAGTCAGTGCAGGCCACCTTTGTACATTTAGACTAGTGGATGAGCCTCTTAGGTAGCAGTTTCCCATCAACCTTTCCAAAGAAGATAAAAATCTCTGTGTTTTAACAGAACTGGGGAAAAGTAGCCTAGAATCTAAGGTTTCCCCATGAGTCTCACACTGGACAACCAGACCACACCAAAATACCCTTTGGAAATGTTTTACTGTCCACTCAGTGTTTGGACTTAAGCACATGTTTCCATGAAGGGAGGCTGTAGGTCCAGAATTAGCAGAAAACCATTGGACACAGTCCAGATTAACAAGCAGTATAGAATTGAAGTGTAGGAATTCAGATTATTTTCTACTTTTTCAGATAAAAACACAAAAGGGGATAAATGCCACCATTTACTACCAGCAAAAGGCAAAGCTTTTGCCTTCTCCAAGTCCAAATCACTTTTTCTCTGTTCTCAGGTGTCACAGTTATCAGGTCCTGTGAAAAACCTTTTCCCAGGAACTCTGCTTTCCAGAAGCCTCCATATTCCAAACACCTGGAACTGGGCAATTGATGGAAAGCAAAACCTGCCGCCCTTTGTGCAGTATAGGACAGGAGAAATAACCTTGGTCAGAGCTTTTTATAGAAGCTCCTAAATTACCTGTGCTCCTAAACCAAATACACATGGCCTTGCATTGCAGAGAACACCCCAAAGGTGACTGTATTCTGTCCTGCCAGCTCAGACTCCAAATCAAGACTCAGGGCTGGTTACCCAAGGCCATGAGGCACATGAGAAGCCCTGAGAAGCCCTAGGGCAGCAGGAACCTAAGCAGGAAGCAGCTGTTCCTCCAGACAAACCAAAGGCAAACTTTCTGTCTCTGTAACTCCCATGCTCTCTGATTTATATCCAAGATCTGTTCCTGTAAGTCGGTCCAATGTCATCCAAATTCAAACAGGAAGAGACAAGCACTGGCTGGATGACCAAACATACAATGAAGAAGATGTGGAGAGCAGTGAAGGAAGCAGTTCCCTACCTGTGGTGCAGGGAGCGCTGTATTCCTGTGTGGCAAACTCATCTGGAAAAGAGAAGGGAAGGCAGAGTGAGCTGCCATGATCCCTGGCACTGTTGGCAGGGGGATGTTTTTCCCAGGCCCCCAGAGCAGGCTGGTGCCACCATCCCAGTTTCTCCCAGAGATCCCAGCTGGGGTGGGGACAGCCCCAGTGCCAGCCCTGTCTGGGGGCAATGGCAGCAAGGCAGAGCCACCCAAAGAGGCAGCTCCAGCAGGGAATCTCCGGGGCATCTCCACCCCAGGGTAGCCAAGGGCTGCTCAGACAGCTCCTGCCAGCACACTGGGCTGAGGTGGGGACAAACTGCTCTGTCACTGCCAGCCTGGCACAGCAGCCAGGACAGCAGAGGCACAAGGAGCAGCAGGTCTGCCTGGAAGCACAGGCCACGCTCCAGGGCCAGAAATGAACACGGCACCCCTGGCATCCACGGCTCCACCCCAGCCCCTCTGCGCTGCCAGGGCTCAGGCAGGGCTGGGGTGGCAGTGCCAGGCTGGGGTAGCTGTGGGTCCCCACAGCCCCCGTGCCCCTCCTCGCTCCCACAGGCACTACAGGCACTCACCTGTCTCGTAGTAGTCATAGACCTTCACCTGGGCTGGCTTCAGGCCCCGCACGGGGATGTCCCGCTCCACCGTGAAGGAGAAGCTGAGGCTCTCCCTGCCCAGCTGGGGAAGGGAAGCAGTAGAGGCTCAGGGGGGCTCTGCACTGCAGGGGCTCCCCTGTGCCTCTGCACTGACCCCAGGCCCCCGTGCTCTCCCCTGCCACCCATGCTCAGGGGGGCACACAGGGCTGTAGGACTGGCTGAGGGGCAGGGGCAAACCATGAGCCCCTTCCCCAGCCTCGGGGAGGCTCTGCTGGTGGGGAGCTCAGAGCCTGATCTGTGCCCAGGGTGGAGGCAATGTCTGCTGAGGGCTGGGAGAGAAGTAGCATTAAAAAAAGTTAGTCTAAAAAGTCAGAGTTTGTAGTTAGAAAAAGACCAAAATATTCACTCCCATTCTTAGCAGAGCCATGGTAGTTTTGAGTCACCAGTTTTTTGCTCTATGCAGCCAAAAGTCCCAATGCCTATGTTTCTGCCCCATCCTCACCTTTTCCAGGTATAGTAGAACATGATTGGTATTCAGCTCTGTGCGCTCAATAACAGGGTGGCCTTCCAGCTGAAGAAAGAAGACCAAAATGTTACTGAATTGATGGTGGCTTCCCTGTGCCCCTTGCCTCATGGGTGAGATGTACTCTGGTTGAAATGCTGCAGTACCCAGAGAACTAAATCAGTAGCACAGATCTGGCTCCTGGGTGTGCCACACAAGTATCATGGTCTCCTGCTCTCCCCTCCACCAGGCTGGCTGAAGAAGTACAGCCTGGCTCCAGAAGAGCCTTAGCACTGGATCAAGCACAGTGATGGAACAATTAAATGGAAATATGTTCCTCCTGGCTTGATAGTTTTGCACCATATCATTATAGCCTTTATTTTCCAGTTCATGCACCTACTTAGCATCTCAAACAGTTACCCAACACCTAAATAGTCACAACATTATGTTTTTAGATCAGTAACAGGAAAAAGGAAACAGCACTATTTTTGAACGTACTATGCACAGACAATGTTTATGGGGAGCTGTTGGGACACAGTAAAAATAAAAGTGCCCATCATCAGTCTAAAGAAAAAAATTACTTATTCTATTTTTCCTAGACTCACATCTTCTCCCCTTGTGCTGGCCTTAAGCCATGTGTGAAAAGAGAGCATTGTACATGCCAAATGCACAAATGACAGTGACAAAATCAAGCTGAAGCTTTGTCGTTTGCTACAGACATTTGAAAGGTGTCTTGGATGTAAGAACGTGGATGTTTTTCTCTTTGTATTCAGCACTGGTGATGACGCACATTGAATTCTGCACTCAGTTTTGGACCCCTCTCTTCAGACCTTGGAATAACACCAAAGAAAGACAATGATCCTGGAAAAGAGACTGGAATGTAGGTCTTACAAGGAGGGGACTGAGATTGTTTAGTCTGAAGAAAAGGAGACTCGGGGGAACCTTATTTCTCCCTACAACTCCCTGCAAGAAGGTTGCAGTGAGGCAAGGGAGCCTTTCCTCCCACGCAAATAGTAATAGAACAAGAGAAGATATCCTCAAGTTGGCAGGGGAGATAAATGTTGAATAATAGGAAAAAGTGCTTCACTCAAAGAGGGACTAAGCATTAGAATAGGCTTTGTGGGAAAGTGGAGAAGCCACTATCCCTGGAAAAGTAAAAAAAAGAGTAGATGGGGAACTCAGTGATACAGTAGTAAGTTGGTATGGTGGCATTCAGTAGAATGTTGGAGATTGAGATCTTTTCCAAATGTAATGACCCTATGATTCAATGTTGCTTGTATAACAAACAGGCTCCTACCTTCCTCACTGAGGACTTCAAGGGGACGAATCCTGACAGCATCTTCACATCAACTATCACCATGTTGGAGACATTGCGCTCCCCTGTGTAACTGAGGAACCAAGCCACAAAGATTCAGTGCACATCAGCCCAGAGCTGGGCACACTTCCAGCTTTTCCATAACACTTGGCACCCCACTAAGGCCAGGCAGTGCAGCACCTTCTTCTCCAGCTGTGCCAGGTTCTGCTAGTCACCTACACGGCCTCCCACTAGCCCAGCCCTGGGCTGGCCACACAGCAGGACAAGTTCTTCCTCCAGAGCCTCTCCTCACACAACAGCTGCCTCCTGCCCACCTTCCCAGGAAAGGGACAACCAGACCTCCCCCAGCTCCCATGGCTCTGCAGGAAATCTCAGACCAAAGCACAGACTCACCTGACATTTATGCCAATGTCAAAGACCTTGTGAGCCTTGGAGTCCACACACACCTCTGGGATTGTGTACACACGGAGCTGGAAGGGCGCCTTCTCCTGTGTGGGCTGCACGTTGTACCTCAGGCTTGTCTAGGGAACAGCAGCAGCTCGGTGTGAGCGTGTGTGTGTGTGTGTGTGTGTGTGTGCTCAACAGGGAGAGAGGGGACCCTCGCCCCACACAGCCAGCCCACTTCTCACAGCTCTTCCACACTGCAGAGCCTTCCCTCCTCTCCTAATCTTTCTCCTCCACATTCCTCTAGTCTTTCTGTCCTCTTCCCTTTACCCACAGCCTCCCACTTCTCCTCTCTCTGTTCTTCACTCTCCTCTACCTCAATGGAAGGACTAAATGGCCTTAGAGTCTTTTGACTACTGATCTTAGACTCAATGATCTCAGGCTCTTTTCCAACCCTACAATTGGATGCCCNAGTGGTGAGAGCAGTGGGCTGAGGAGAGGTGGGAGCAGAGCCACCCAAGGGCTCAGCACCAAGGGGATGGTGCCTGCTGCTTCCTGCTCAGCTCCCTCTGGGCAGAGAAGAAGGAGCAGGCCCTGAGAGGGACTTCTCAAAAAGGTAATCCCTTTGCACAAGTCTTTCCTCTCCCTGCACCTTTCCCTACCCACACTGGCCAGTGCCTGCTGCCATTGCCCCACCAGCAAAAGCCATTTCAGCGAGGGAAGGTGTAAGGCTGGTGAAAGGCATGTCCCACCAGGAACACTCACCCTTTCTCACTGCTTCCTTTTCAAGTGAGTCAAGCAATGCCTTCCGCTTCTCCCTGTTCCCTGCCAGGGCAAAGGCGTATGCCAGCAGTGCCTTGGTGTACACATGGTTTTGTTCCTGACTGGCTGCTGTTTCCAGGCAGAACAGAGCATTCCGCACCACTGAGTACTGGGGAGAGAAAGCCGGTGATTAGAGGGGTGGGGAGTAATGAGTCTTTTGCCTTACTAAAAGCATATCATCCTACTGAACTTTCAGATGGGGACACTGTACAAGTAGGGTACAATGTCTCCCAGATATATCAAAAATGACAGTTCTTGTATCACAAGGGTCAATAACCAAGTTATTTTTCCAATCTGGAGCAAATTCTGGTCAATACTGTGTTGCCATAGACTGGCACAGCAAACTGGCTCAAGTTAGGATGCAGACACATACTGTCACAGGCAGGGGAATCTCCAGCAATGCAATAGTGATGTAGGCTGTCAGCGTGACCTCGTTGTCCACTCCACCCTGCAGGGAAACACAAAGGTAGATGCTGACCCCACCCAGCTTCATATCTTGAGACTATTATCCCACCCCAGTGGGAGCAATGCTCTATTGTGCATTGCAGACCATCAGCTTGCCTCCTTCCTCTTGCATCTGATGTGAAGCTATCACCAATAAGTACAGAACAGCGCATGGCTCCCTCCCCAGTGTTTGTCACTGGCATGAGAATATCCCATCTCCCTGTGTGCTCAAGAAGCTTAACTGGCCCTATCTGACTTATGGCCAAGTTCTAGTCTCACAAAGAAATAGCCAGGCAAACCTGTTACCTTCATAGCATTGTTCAGGAGTGTCCCAGAACTCTGGAAACAGCCATTCTCCTTCTGTTTGTAGGACAACCAGTTCAAAGCATCATGGATGTGCTTTTCCTCTATGAAGATGTGATGCCGGGCCTGGGCAAAGGACTTGAGGACAAAGGCTGTGAGCCTGAAAGGGAGAAAAAGAAAGTGCTCAAGCAGGCCTGTTGCCCATTTCAATTGACAAGGCCCATGTGCACATCATCTATAAGGAAACAGGCAAGAAGGGCTGGAGAACTGTGGGACAATTAGTCAGACCTTATGTGTACTATATCCTCACCTCAAAAAATTCTGTCAAAAAACTGCTTTCCACTTTGATTTTTGTCTCTTTTTTTGCCTCTCACTTGGCTCAAAAAACCCTGTGATCCCTTTGTGTTGAGGCTACAGTTTGAAGGATATTGATTGTTGATCTGTCTTTGAAAAAAAATTCTTTGAAAAATATAGGCAATTGCATGCCAATTAGCTAAATATGCATAATGGAAGTTCTCAAGATTACAAGGAAGAATAATTATATTCCCACAAGCTCATGGTCTGCTGGTAGATCTCTTAAACCATAAATCCATGCTTCATGGGTTTCTCAGAACTCCCCTAGAATTTTTAATAGCAGAACATATTGAAAGTGTTTTTAAGAGTTGTTGCAAGCAGTTAAGGAAAAAAAGCAGGCATGTGGTCAGAAGCCAACATGCTGTCAAAAGCCAATTACCATTTCAGAAACTAAAGACAAACTGAGGGTGATGAGTTCTTCCATTATTATCCTTACTTAAAATTAAAAACACATGACAATGATATATAAAGAGCAAGTCAAAACTTTTCAATAAGTCAGAATGGCAACACACATGCTCCTCCAGTCTGTCTTTGCTTAGTAGCATACAAACACTTGAAAAAAAAAAACATTCAGCACTGTTCCTGAATTATCAACCTTTCCACTTGTGTTTCCTCATATGTTTCCATATGGAACCATCTTTTCCAGCAGACTTTTCAGCAGATGCTAGTCTAGAAGAGCTGCCACTGCAACTTTTCAGCCTTCTTCAGTCAGGGTGTTAAATCCCTGCTCCCTTCTTCTCCAATTTATCTCTATTTCCTTTTTGTCTGTGAGGAACATGCTGGTGGGAGGAGGCACTTCAGCCATATAGCTGGCTGATGTAGACTATTTATTAAGAAGGAGGCAGCATAGTGATCACACCAGCTCTGGAAAACCTGCTGGTCTACAACAGCATTTCCTATTTACTGTCAGGCAGTATTTATTATAAATGTGTGAGTGAGAAAGAGAAGCATAGGTGGCACTGAAATCTCACCAGGTATTTCCTGGTTGGCCATAACGTTGTCCAAAGGTACTGTAAGAGCCATCTTGGTGCTTGTAGCTCAGCTGCCTCTGATAACCTGCAATGGAAAGATAAGGCGGGATTCAGATTCAAGAAAGAGTCTGCTGTGGGATGGGGAAATAGAAAAACAGTTCCATCAGTAAAAGCAAATGAGAGAGGCATAGGTCATTCCTATCCAATATGAAGTGCTGGTACACCCCCACCTCCATGCATTGCTTGTTGTGCATGAGGAAAAGCAACACCTGCCTTTCTTCAGAAGGATGGCAGGTCTTACAGATGACAATGAATGAGTCACTGCAGCAGTGACAACTCCACACGGCATTGCTACCCCATGAGAAAAGTGCTCGTAATTATCAGGTACAGTAATGCTTAAGCAACACAAAATAATAAAGAGAAAAGCAGCCAAGGGCCCCCTCAGGAATGCAGCAGAGACCATCTGTGTATGAGAGAAGACCTCTTTCAACATCTGGCCAGCATTTGACAGACACACCCCAGGCAGGATCTAGAAGAAAGCCAAAGCAGAAGCAAAAGCCATGTCCCAGCTCACCGCTCACTAAGTATCCAGTGGCCTTGGATTTGATCTCCTCGTTCAGCTGCCCTGTCTTGTTCAGATAGTCCAGGACGTAGATGTTGGGTGCAAAGAGGACCATGTTCTGCTCCCCACAGCCAAAGGGCATCTGGAGGAGCTGGTGCAGGTTCTGCATGGCAGTGCCTATCAGAATCAGAGGCAGCTGCTGAATGACATATGCAGGAGGTATCAGAGAAGAACAAAAGATAATCTGGATTGATAAAGATTCAGGAACAAAACAGAACAGCAGAGAAAAGGAAAAAGGGAAATAAGAGAAAGGTTAGGGCATTGTAAGAAGACTGAGAAAAAGGCCTTGCATAAATGGAAAAGGAATAGCACAAACAGAAGGGGAAGTGCTCAGTACAGAAGAGATTAAAGACAAGAATGAGCTGTGCTAGAAACCAAGAGAAAAAGCTGTGAAGTAAGAGGTCAACACAAGAGTCAGAAACAGCACATGACAGGTTCGTCTGTCAGGCTGTTATCTCACCCAGCACTGAGAAATATGCTCTGCCTGAGTCTTGTACCACATTTTCAGGTAGCAACAGGGAAAACTCCTCTTTCACAGGCACTCCTGAGAAAGAAAAAAGACCCAAACAGCTTTAGTGCAGTTCCAAGAAATAACTAATGGAAGGGGAAGAGGCCTCAGTGATGGAAGGGGAAGAGGCCTCAGTGAAACAATAGGAACTCTTCCTATTAGAAATGCCTTAATTTCAGTTACTTCATATTTCCCTGGCTGTAACACAATCTTTGCTTGAAACCACTCCCAGCCACCTTTAGGCACTGCAGATCATGTGTCTACAGCTTCCTCCTGAGTGCGCAAGAAAACAAGAGCACTTTTAACTCCAGTACCAGAAGTAAAAAGAGCAAACTTTATGCAAACATCCATGATAAATCTGTCCTAGCTCATACCCTGATGCTTAGGCAGGATGGTCAATTCTTTAGGACTTTCTTCTGTCTTATGGCTCTAACTCCTTACCAATAGTACAGGTTTTGACTACACAAAAAATGTCCCACTACATGGAATATGATAGAGGCAGGCCTCCAACATCCCACCCATCAAACCACACAGGAGCAAACAGAGAGCATGCAAAGAGTGGGCTTTACCTTTTACACAGAGCACAGAATTCTGGGTTGTTTCCTTCTCAACTCCTTCAGGCTTGTATGGGATTAAGGAAAACAAGAGAGGTGAGAAATTAGTGAGACAGGAAATATAGACAGGAATCCTCACAAGGACAGAGGGATATGTAAAAAGAAAAGTGAGGGAACTGAAGAAGGAGAAGCAGTCACAAACATTTCCTGAAATACAGAGCTCTGAAATAATTTAAGCAAATAAAAGAAAAGTCATCCTAAGTGACTGATGTTGTGTGTGGAGGAAGGACAGGAAAAGGAGAGGAGAACATTGCAGGACCATCAAATGGATGACCTGCAACTATTGTACACAGTGAGAGACACTTAACATACTTGTGGCAAAGGGACTGCAGCATTACAGAGAGCTGTGCTGAAGTCTGAAGTGTTGTTTATTGTAATGCTGCAGATGCTTTAGGAAAAAAAATTGTGTATGTTAACAACGGAAAGGGAGGATGTAGTACACTCTAGTATCTGGTGACACTACTGATAGCATATGATGTGGTAGGCAAACCATTAGGGGTTTTTATGAGGAAAGCTCAGAACATAGAACCTAACTGCCAGATTACCACCCTCAGGATATGATAAACCAGCAATTTCCTACAAAGGTTATCCAATACTGCCACATAGTATTTCCTTGTGTTCCACATCACATCAGCAACCCTTCCTGCCACAGGAAGTGGGTAAGCTGTAAAATGTCAACATGCTTTCATGTGTAGGTTTAAGGGGATTTCTCTACAGTCATCAAATTCCCACAGGTGCTTGTGAATCACTCACCTTCATCCTGGTGCCAGCCTATGTTATCAAACCATAATTGCAAAACACTCATCTAAAGAGGCAGTTTGCTTGGCCACTCAATTAGCTGAGAGTCAGCATGTGCTGACTGGCACAATTACTGGGGGTATGTCAGAAGAAGGAGAGAAGCTGTAAAGACAGTGTATTGAAATAGTAGGTAACAGATGGGAGCTAAAGGGAAGGATGGATTGCAGTAGGAGCCCTGTTACAGTAGAAGACAGGGCAAGTTTATTGTACCAGGAGACACAAGGCACATTATTAAGCTGAAGTCTTTATGCAGCCCTGTCAAAGATGATGTAAAACCATCATATTGCCATGCTGCATAGTGATCCCATAAAATCACAGACCAGAGCAGGTTAGAAGGGATCTCAAAAGATCATCTGGTCCAGCCTTTAACAAGAAAGGGAGCTAGATGAGATTATCTAGCATCCCATCCAATTGTATCACTGTGTAAGCTAAAGCCCATGGGAAAGCCCAGTCCTCCCTTCCCCGAGCCCACGTACCTCCACCAGCAGCTGCCTGATGACCGTGTCCTTCCGCCCTTTCTCCGGGGTCTCCACAATGTAGTTCCCACAGGGCTGCTGGCTCTGTAGGGCCTCAGTGGTCACTGAGAACTCCACCTGCCCTGGAGAAAACAGGAGTCAGTCAGTCCTGCCAGGCAGAGCCAGGCAATGGGATTCACTGCTACTTTCAGGAGTTTCAACTTGCAGGCTCATGGATGGAGATTTCTGTCACACCTGGGCCCTGCTTCTTTCCCACAAAAGCCAAGCTCTCTACATGAGCTGTGCTGTCATTGAAAGGTGGCTCTATTTTGGGGACTCTTTTACAGAACCTAGGACACCACAGTGTGACCAGCCTCACTGCTGTTCAGCACAGTGCTGCTCTGCAGGCACAGCACAGCTGCTACCACACCAACGGTGAAAACAAAGTGTGAAGATTGCATGGGGAAGACATCTAATCTCTGGGAGGAATGGAGCTAACAGAACATCTCTGATGGCCAGAAATGTCTCTGGCCTCAGGAGATGCTGTCCAAGGGCTATAAGGCTTGATGGTGCTGCGTGAGATGCCAGACACACAGTTGGACCCTGTGAATCCCCCAGTCTTTTCCTCCCAAGTACCAGTCTTTGTCCCCCAGATCAGACACACTCAACTGAAGTACTTCCCAGGAAAAAAACCATTGCTCTAATATCCAATACTGAACAGGGAGAACAATACAAAGAAACCCTTCCTGCAGTTTTCAGCACCTTGAGACCTTTACCTAGAGATTTGGGAGTCACCCGCCAAGCCACGGTTTTCCTCACATTCTCACAGAGACAATGAGATTCTTCCTCTTTTTCCACCAGAGTAGCCAAGAAATGACTAGACTGAGCCAGAGTCACACTGACCTGCCAGTTGCAGAGAGAGGTACAATTAAGAAAGGGTGAGCATGAGAGACAGGGAGCTAGGAAGACACAGCAATAGCTATTTCTTCAGTAGCAAAGGAGCAGGGAACTGGAGTTGTGGGTTCTGTATTTGGAGTATATAGGAGAAATAACATAAAATGTCAGGGTCAAAGGGTCTAGGGCTACTGAGAGATAAGGTAAGAAGGCTAGGTGAAGGCAAGGGTGCACAAGAAGGTACACAGCTACAGAGAACAATTTAAACCTCCCTTACCCTGATGCAGGCAGGCAGGTAGTTGAACACGGTGGCTTTCAGCGTGAAGGACTCCCCACGCACTACAGAGTAGGGCATGGTGAGCTCGACAAAGAAGGGCTGGAAAGCTCTGAGGGACACTGTCGGGGACAGGCCAAAGCCTGTGTCTGCTGAAGTGCAGAATGCATTGGCTTTCCACTCAGTGATGGTGTCAGGGATGGTCACTTCCAGATCAGCTTTTCCCTCAGGGCTGGTAAAGCACAGACAGCAAGGACAGATGGATCAATTTTACAGCATTTTGGTGACTACCTGTACCCCTTTTGGCCTACTGAAAAGTATTTGCATCATCAGTGATGTGGTACAGTACATTTGCTACTGTAGGACAACTCTACATCTTCTTCCAGTCCACTCCTTGGACAAACCTAACTATGGCTGAAAGTAATTTAATCTCAGAGGACTGCCGAATGGTCTCTGCAAACAATGAAGGACAAACAATTTGGGATGCATGCTTTCACATTATAAGCCCAGTTTTATTAAAAAGGAATGAGCTAGCCCAAGGCACTCACCTTATAGGTACTAAACTCCAGATCCAGGTTTCTGGGAAATACTTTCGGACTGTCTCTGTCACCTCTTCGGGGGTGCTTAACTGTGCAGAAGCTCTCTCAGCCAGAATGTCTGAATGTGGTGAGATGAAAAAGAAATCAACTACTGACAATTCCAAACAAGCAAAACTTATATCGGCATCATGCTTCAGTCTGAGAAAGTGTCAATCAGAAGCAGATGCTTGTGGCTGCAGTGAGCTATGGTACCAACCACTGTGGAGTTTCAGGGCCAGGGCTTATTGGCAAGAAAAGCTAGCCTTCCATTATTTTCTACTGGTCTCCAGAAGCCCTCAAAGTTTGTAAGCCAGTACTTTACATGCTTAAATAAAGAATTTTGAGCAAAAATCTATTTAGAACCTTCTACACAAGCAGCCTTTTCTCTTTCAGGTGCAGCCTTGAGGTGATGTTCTTCTCTATTCAAATAAGGCAAATGGAACATCCCTCTGTTGAAGTGTTTTTTGTAGGGTCATTGTGACTGACAGTACCAACTTCCTAGCAAAGCTATGGCCTCCTCAAGAACTAGGCTGAAAATGCTCAAAATAAAAACATGCAGCTGGAATACAGGAAGGGTAAAAAAAGCCATTTTGACTAAAACAAAGTTTTCACATACTAAATTTATTCCAAATGAAATATTCTGTGTTTGGGATGAAATTTGTTTAAACATTTTGTTTTACTTTACTTTTCAATAACTGGAAAACAAAGATGGGGTGGGTGGGACTTGGTTTGCTTGGCTTTCACAAACAGAAAGAGAAATGCATCCAAGCAGAAAAAGAAGAAAAGTTCTTAAGAACATTCTAATTTTCATCATCTTTACTTTGGCTAATTGGATTTCTGCATTTGGATAACAATTGAGTAGCTAAAAAGTATTAGTACTAGTTGTGCAACAGGCATCTCCAGAGCCTGAGAAGGTCTCAGGGACAGGTGAAAGAAGCTATCAGAGCTATATCACATTGCTCCTGGCAAAAGTGGAAGGTGGCTTGCTTGTGTTTTTCTATTGTGGTATTTCAGTCTTCTTACTGCTGCTTATTTCAGTTTAAAATAATTAAAAGGCATCTATCCTGCATCTGTCAGAAGCTGAAATTGTTTTCAAACTGGACACATACAAAAGCACAGGTTCTAGTGCCAAAGGAAAACTCTTGGTATGAGACTGAAGTATGATAGGGCCAATTCTGTTGCCCAAACCCTTACAGTGTAAGAGTTGAGGTAACCCTTAAAAACAGGATAGTAGGATGAGCCTATTTCCATGGACTTCTACCATATATGTCTTTCCATGCTAAGCTCCCAAAGTCCCAACTCATTGCTGAAAAATTGTCACCCACTTCATGGTTTTGACCATGCATAAGACTGGCTGAGCTGATGAAAAAAGCCTGAAAATGGTATTGGAGACTCTGTAAGTGATAATCTAGCAATAGAAGTCTACTGTAAAAGCCCAATGAACAGAGAATTTATCAGCAGGATAATATCCTCTGCTCTGCCAGTTCTTGAACACTGTCTGGTTCTGCTGATTTCTAATAAGAAGTTACCAAAGCTTGTCTGTAGACCTACACAAACCATTCAGAAGCTGAAATCTACTAACCCATCAGCTCAGTACTGCTTCCAAGGTTTCAGTTCACAAGCCCAGCTCTTGTTTAAGTATTCACCCCAAAATACAAGCAGGACCTCTGTTGAGAACAGGAGTGATAACAAAACCAAGTTCCTTTACCGGTTGTCCTCATTTCATACATGGCTGGTACAGCCATGGCTCCAGGTGCTCCTACGCCACCTGATTGATGGGCACCATAGATGTGATTACTAGGGCCGCAAATCCAAGGTTTCCTCACGTTGGTGTTTGTGAAAACCTTTAAACCCATTTCCTATGGGAGAAAAACAAAACACATCTTTTTATTACTGAATCCTGTGGAGGCTTATACAACAGACTTCACACTGGCATTTTGCTGCCTCAAAATGGAGAAGTTGTTACTGTGTGTGGATTGGACCTTAAGATGATCCCCCAATCCTTGGGTCTGAGTGCCAGGGTGGCTCAGAGAGACCAAAGGATATATCTCCTCTTTTTCTAGGACACTGCTTCCAGCCCAGTTTCAGCCTAGGGGTCAGGATTAGCCAAGAAGTAGATATATGGTTTTCTCTCTAGAAATCTGTCTGTGACTACAATGCAGCTCAAGGATGAACTGATTTATTCTAGGTAACTATAATGGCATGGGATCATTTACCTCCAATTAGAACCTCACTTCAAGTCAACCTCAAACCTTTTCCTGTAAGAAAACTTTGAGATTAATCCCTTTTCCATCAAGTATGAAGCATATCTGTCAAGACAAGTAAAGCTTATGTCTCTCACCAAACATGCCTCTGGATAAAAAGAAGTGTCAGATCATTCAGACACACAAACCCTTCCCTTGTTAAATTTCATGATGCCACAGAAGGCTTAAGCATTCTCAATCATTCTCCCACTCCACTCCCTAACCAGGCCAGGAGGGCTGTACCTTTAGGATGCTGTAAGTGTCCTCTTCATTCACCCCCATTACTGGAACATAGGTGATCCCATTCCGAACTATTGGCTCCATGGTTATGCAATTCCAGTGGGGCTCCTCCACTGGTATGTTTGAACCATAGACATAGCCATGGAATTCCTTCACTGGAAGTAAGTTATATACCTTGGAGAAAGAGAGTATTTGGAATTTTAGCATCCATTGTTATGAATCACAACTGAGGGAATTGGATACAAGCACCTTAACACACCAACCGGCACACACATCCACATTGCCATGGTCCTCCCTGTGCTGACAGCAGAAAGAGTTTGGGAATCAAAAAAGAGATCAAAATTTGGAGATACTGCCTCTTTTTTTATGTTCTGCATGTTACTCTGGTTATTATGGCTCAAATATGTAAACAATTACATTGGCCAAACCATCTGTAATACTTTGTCCCTACTGAGGGACTGTCATTTTCTGCTTGGCAAAATAAAAGGCAGAATAAGAAAAATAAAATAAAATAAAATAAAATAAAATAAAATAAAATAAAATAAAATAAAATAAAATAAAATAAAATAAAATAAAATAAAATAAAATAAAATAAAATAAAATAAAATAAAATAAAATAAAATAAAATAAAATAAAATAAAATAATGAAAGGCAAAAAGGCAAATAAACTCTTTGACACTTCTGGATGCTACCCCAAGAAATTTAATCTATGCATGAGGAGAATAACAGAAAAATTATCATCAAACACACAACAGCATTTGGCTCTAGCAAGACAAGCAGAGCCCTTAAAAGGGCTTCCTGATTTCCATCCCTAAAATCACACATAAGTCCTAAGAAACAACTGCTGCCCCATTCTCATTTTTTTGCCCACTGGAGGAAGATGAGAAGCAGCACAGGGAAGCTTCCCTGTGTCACCTCTGACAAGAGGGACTGTTCCCTGTTTCCACCCCAGCGCTGGCTGCTCTTGCTCTGACCAGGCTCCAACCCATTCCACAGACCAAGAGCTTACAGAGGCGGGTGACAGGTCAGCTTCTGGCTTCATGAGGAGAACGCTCTTGTCCACAGCACGCACAGCACAGAGTGAGTTTGGGGAGGCTCGGAATTGCAAGTGAGCATCTGAGGAAGGCAGGCCTTCTGAAGGGGAGAAGCTTAAGTCCACCTGTAACCACAGGAAAAGCTATGTCACAGATGCCCTGCTCTCACAGGACTTTTCCTTGACTCAGCTTCCAGTTGAGTGCATTCAGTTCTAACTTTACATATGCATGTACACTTCTCTCTACACTTTCTCTGGGCTACTGTTCCCTTCCAGCGGTGCCAGGGGAATCTGAACCAAGAGTTCTTGGCAACTTCAAGCATCACAATTGCTCATAAAATTTTTAAGGTGGTTTTGGGTTCTGTAGTCATTGTGAACGTGTTGAGGCAATCCCACATAGGGGCTAGATGTGATCAGATGGTGTAGCATGTCCTTGAGCTGGTCACTGTACTGCACCCAGAAACTGTATGTGGAGAGAAAACCAACTTGCAAAAACCTTGCTCTTGTTCTCTTTTTCCTAGCCAGGACCATCTGCAGGATCAGTAGCTTTGACCAGTTGCTAAAGGGGGCTTTATCAGTGTAGACCCTGCTAGCACTTTTTTCTAGCAGTTGATCTCCTCCAGGTTAGTACAAACCAGTAAGCAGTGAAGTCACCTACAACAATTGATACGTTGCTTGTCCAGTGTTAAGTATATCTAAAGAAATTAGCTTTACCAGGCTAAATCTAAATAAGTGAACTTGAACACACTGCAGTCTGGTGGCTGCTCCCTCATGGAGTGGACACTTACCTTATTGTTGAAACACAATTCTGTGTTGAACTTGGCTGAATCAGCAATCACCTCCCTGCTGGGGACTGTGGTGTAGACAAGTACTTGGGCCACTGGAGCAATATCAGCTTGTACAGACAGCTGAAGTGAGAAGACACCATTGTCTAGCAAACAAAACAATGGCAAAAAGTTAAGGTGCAAAAAACTTTCTTTTAGAGCAGCCAAAATTCTAAGTTTGACTTTATGCTGAACTTTATCCTATCAATATCAATATCCTATTCCAGGCATCCAAGTGGGATGAATTGGTGTTCACAGAGAGGTGTAAGTCTCTCTGTCTGACTGAAAAGGCCTGTTTTCCAGTGCACAAGTATGATTAACTCTGCTTCAGCTTCTAAAAACAGACGATCAGATGTATCTCCAAGGAGCACTGAAGCCCCAGAAAATGCAGTGTCAGGAGAAAGACAGCAGCACAGGGGATTAGAGAAAAACTGTGAAAAGCCTAAAGGCAGAGAAAATGAAGGTCAAACTCTTCCCAGATCTTAGAGAACATGCAGATGTCAATCCCTACATTTACATGAAAGCAGACTGTAGGTCTGCCACAGTTGCCTAGCCCTGCATAAGAGTGACAATTGGGTGGGGGAGAGGAACTCACCACTTTCCTGGTCCAAATCCAGAATGTGAGTGCCTCCTCGCTTAATGTTTCCCTTGGCCATCACCTGAACAGAAGGAGAAACTTCATTGTGATCGTGGTTTTGCATTAGCCAAACCTGAAAGTGAGGAGCCCTGCACGGACAGCAACTGAGCTGTGTGTCTGTGCTCACACCCAGCTCTCTGCCTCCATGTAGCAGAATCCCTGTGCTCACCCAGAGGGCACAGGAACATCCTTACATCTTAACTCCCAACCCAGACCCTCCTTTTTGTTTCTAAAGAACAAATGAAGGATGACAAGAAAGTGTTTAAAGACTGCTGCTGCAAACCACAGATTGTATTTCTAATCCCCCTATAATTTTCAGTGACAACCGCAAAGTATGGCAGGTGCAAACTTACCAGGTAGTAAAAGGTGATTTTCTTCTGGTCTCCTACAGCCTCTGGAGTAAGGATATAATGCACCTGGATCTCTGTGGAGGAGCCACAGATTAGTGGCTTGGACTTGGGCTCAATTTTGAGGAAGCTATTACTGCGAGAGTAAAAGCGCTTCAGCTGGAGATAACCTTCTTCATAATATGGAACAACCCAGGAACGTTCATAGCAGAAGATGTTTGGTTTATGAACTGCCTGGAAAAGGAGAACAATACATGTATAGATCCTCAAACACAGGTGAACAAACTGGAGACAAAAATTCATGGCCTAATATTTAAAGTTTTAGTGGTTTTTTTGGTATTGAAGTAAAAAGGGAATCTACAAGATTAATAAAAAAATTTAAAACAAACAAACAAAAAAAAAAAACAACAAAAATCCCCCAACACATGAGTTTGGAAAATGCAAGAGAGGATGGTCGTATCTTTAGCAAGTCATTGGTTATAATCTTACTCCCAGAGTAGATTGAGTTTGTGTCAAACAAGCTGAATCATTTTAGATTTTTGTTTACCATCAGTGCCATTTTCAGGGCCTTTTACAGTAATGCCTTTCCTTCTCCAATATTCTAGTTAGTCTATAGGGGGAAAAAAAGGCCAATTTTCATTTCTTTCCTTGTCATCAGCACTGAAGAAGGGATAGTTCTGTTCAGTTCAGATATTGCCAGTGCTAAGATCAAGCTACAGATCCTAGAGAATAGGAGGACAATCTCCAACTAATAATTTAAAACCTAAACTGCATAGAAGTTTACGAGAGAGAGAGTCCTCTTAAAAATGAGAGCAAGGGGAAGATATTTCACATTTAGAAGGGTGCTATTTCAGCATTTGATGTGCCTCATGTGCCCTTTTTTCTTTATCTTTCTCATTATACTTGTGAATTCTTGCCTTTTCTTTATCTTGCAAAAATCTGAAAACTTCAAGCATCCAGTAACTTCTGGAAAATGTTTAATGGTTTTAATCTGTAACAAGGGAATTGTAGGGAGAAGAGCAAACATAATTCTATACACAAATATTCTCCACTACTCCAGGATGTGATATTACAACATATGCATATGACACAACAAATTGCATTTCCCACTAACAAAGAGATGCTTGGCAGCACCTGTTTGTCCCAGACACACAAATTCTACAACAAACCAAAGCAAAGCAAAATCAAATGAACAAACAAACAAACAAAAAACCCAAACCTGCCCCCTCCAAAAAAAACCCAGGAGCTGTACTTAAAAACTTGAAATACTAAATTAAACTCTGAGATGTGCAGATTGGAGATAGACCCACCCTCAACCATGTAGGGCTGGCGATCCCTTGAAGCAGAATCGACTATTATGATCTCTTGATGTTCCCTCTAATCCTGTATTGCAACTGCCAAGCAGAAATCAAGTGTTTACAAGATAAGTGCAATTGTGACCTGGAACCTCAGTCTACTGTATGACTATTTCCACCAACCTTGTGTCAAGGTTCACTCAAGCAAGAAGGAAAAATAATCTAGCTACTTTTGCATATATAGTAGAAACTTTAGAGCTTCCAGCCCTGTGGGGGGCTTCATTACCTTCTCTGCTCAAAGGACTTACCCTAATTCCAACATTTTCAAAGGCCAGTGAGGAAGTGTTCAGGGCAAACTCTGCTACGCCCTCTTCATTTGTTGTATAGTTTTGTTCCTGTCCTCCTTGAAAAGAAATTCTCACTGTTTCATTGGCAATTGGAGCATTAGACCCATCCACTAATTTCACCTGGAGGAGCAAAACCAGTACAGCTTAGAAGGAGAGGGATAGCTGCCACCTGAACAAGACTGGTAGAACACCAAGGTAAAGATGTTGAGCCCATGTCAGACAAGGAAGCCTCAACAGCACTTTACATGTATCTCTTTTGGAGACAGCTGCAAACTTTCTGAATACTTTTTCTCTGCCTCTTTCTTATCTCTGCCCCTGGGTCAGAGGAGTGGATGTGGAGAATGACATGCACTCACACCCCTGAGGCCTCCAATTATACAGGTCACTGTAGAAGGAGAATTTTAGTGGACTGGAGAGGGAGAAGCACAAGGACAGAATGAGGGCTGTGCTCTCAGCTGCTGTTCCCCAGTTTGAAAGCCTTCAGAGGAAAGGAGACCCACAGGTTTTAGCAGCACTGATGTCCAGCATCCTTGCAGAGTTTAGGGCATACATCTGACCAGAAGGTTCAGTAGCATCACTGCTTGGAATGGAATGGCATTCCATTCTCATGGTTTCCCTACCTGCCCAAAGAAGGGGACTCCTCGCTTGTAGTAAGTATCTGAAAGCGCAAACATGACTCTGCTAATGGTGCTGGTGATCTCAGAGAAGCTTGTTCCAGTCAACTCCACTCCTGCAGAAAGAAGCATGAAGAACTAATTTGCCTCTGCCTGACCAGAATTCCTTTTAATCTAGGCCAACACTCCTTTGCTAGACAAACTCTTTTCTTGATGGTCCTGGACTAGAGGCAGGAAAACTCTAAGAGTCTCCTTTTATTCCTCATTCCTACTGGGCAAGCCCTTCTGCTGGTCCCTCCTGGGCCCATTACATGGCTCTTTCATCTAGATGATCCATACCTGTATCCTCCTCTTTAATCTTAGCCTCTACATGGAGCTTATTCTCATAACCGCTTCTCTTGAGCTGGAATAATTTGGTCTTTACCACTTCAGAAATGCAGCCATAGATGTCTGTCTGTTGGAGGAAAAACAAACAAGACCATTATATTCTCATTTATACAATGCTTAATGAATCTATCACTGTGTGTTGCTCTGAAGGAGAAGCCCATAACCTCACAGATAATTTACCTCTGATGCTTTTATCAAAACTAGAAAAATACATAAATAACTTAGCAAAAAGCATATTGAGGTACTTACATCAGCATTAGAGAAAAAAAGTTTGCAAACTAGACAATTTTTGTGTATGTTTAAGAAGTTTGAAGCTGCCAACATTTGGTATGAATGCATAGGGAATTAGTCAATGTATGCCACTTAAAAAATGTTTGTCAGGCACCAGGCTTGTTAGAAAATAAAGCTGCTTACTTAAAATGTGTAAGCCATATGAGTGATACATAAACCAAAGCCTGTGTATTTGTAGAAAGCAGATGACAGCTGGAAAAGTATTTCCAAAGCTTGCCACCTCTCTTCAACAAATTCATGTAGAAGGCAAGTCTCCACAGATGAGATGCCTGGAAGAGAGGTTAGCAGCACAGTATTTATATTTTCTTTTGACATGGGTAACAACAGTAGTGGCAGAGGTAGCTGTGGACTCATGTGTCTCATGCTGTAGCAGAGCCCAGGGACCACAAGAACATCTTTTACATGCTTTCTTCTCCTGACATATTTCCACAATTGCTATTACTCTAACTTCTGTCAATTAACCTAGTATTGTTGCACCTGTCTGTGCTTCAACACACCTTTCAGTTTCGCTTTTGCCAGTCAAAAGGTGAAAAAAATTGGGGGTTTTTTTCTGTCTGTCTTAACCACTGCTGCTAAACCTGTAGTTCTTTCCTTCTTGCTCAAAATGCATCAGCCTCTCTCCTGGTTTCTGCTCCTTTCCTTCTTCTAACACCAGCTTTTGTCCCCATACGCTGTCTCCAGTGTAAGCCAACTCCAACTCTGTTCTCATTGCCCATGGCTTTTCTATCTCAGTTTGCTCTTAGTCTCTACACTCCATCTGACCTTTCTGTTCCTTCTTTCACCTCTTAATTCTTCATAAAATTCTAGCCTTTACACACATTGCTCTTACTGCTCAGACCTTTCCCCTTATTTTCACCTTCCACATTTCATCTTGCACCCAATCTTCTCTCATCCTTCAGCCTTCCTTAAAATACATGGATTTTCACAGAATCACAGAATCACAGAATCACAGAATGGTTTTGGTTGGAATAGGGCTTAAAGGCCATCAAAGTTCTAATTCCCATGCCATAGGAAGGGCCATCTCCCAAGACCAGGTTGCTCAAAACCCCATCCAACCTGGCCTTGAACACTTACAGGAATGCAGCATCCACTGCTTCTATGGGCAACCTGTGCCAGTGCCTCACCACATGTTAACACTATGTCTGCACATACTCAGAGCAAGCCTGTGCCTACAAGGCATGCTCAATAACACTTTCTCCAATCACTCTACCCACCAGAGTAATCTTGACTCACCTGTCCAGAGAACTCCTCACAGACTGCTCTAGCCTCTTCACCATAGCAGGATATGCCTGCACGTTCATACTTCCGGCAGACACGGAAGTTCACGAGGCCAGGAACAGGCTTCCCAAATGTGTATCTACAAGCAGGGAGGATTGAAAGGAAAACAGAGACATTAGGAATGTAAGAGGGATGTAGAAAAATTACAGGCTCATCCCCACTGATGCCAGCTTTTTTCCCTAGAGTTGCCTCCAGGATACACAGGGTCATCATAGGAAATAAAAAGCAGAAAGGGATCTGGTACCATATGCTAATGCTGATTTTGTTGAGCATCCCTCTCATCCTGGAGAACATGTTGCAAGCATCTACCCAACCCCCCAGTTGTGATAGAACTTTATGTATGTAATAGCACTGGTTCTTTACTCTCACTCTTCAGCCCAAGCCATGGCTCTCCCTGCAGGGTGTATAGAATGCTGCAAGGTGGAATCCAGTGAGGTGACCCAAAGGAAAGAGGGCAGCTGCATCTCTTAGGGTTTCCTCTCCACAATAACAAGCAGAAGATACAGTTCAAACATCATTCCTGAGTAAACTGAATTAAAGACCTCATCCCTTGCACTGCAGCTGGTGTGAAATCCTCAATGACTCAAAAAATATGCAAGAAACACTCTCACAAAAAAACAGATCAAAAATATGTTTCTGTATGTTACATACAAAGTGCATCAAACAGTAACTGTTGCTTTTTGTCTAACAGCAGATATATTCTACTTGGTCCTGGGACCCCAAAAGGATTGAAAAATATAATAAAGTCTCATCTCTCAGCCTCCCAACCGAACTTTCATCAGCAACTCAAGAAAACACTGAAACCAAGCAGAACTTGAAAGAATGACACTCACAGTCCACAAACTGTCACCTTCAGTTCCTCATCAAGAATGCTGATCACTTTGGGCATTTTCACTGTCACTTCAAATTTTGGCAACACTGCAGAAGAACCAAAGGAAAACAGTCTATGTGGTAGGGAATAACATCAGAATGACACACAAAGGCACTCAGAGGCTATTCTTACAAATTACCTAAAAACCCCTTACATCTAAATGGTCAGATTTTAGAGGCTTCTGTCACCTGCACATCCCACTGAAGTCATTGAGAACCCCTCAGTCAAGCATTGTGCCAGGTAAGAGAACAAGATTATTACACCAGCTATTAAAATATAGCAACTTCATAGGTAACACATGGGCTGTCAGTCCCACAGCAGTACGATATAGTAAAAGAGAGAGAAATCAGTAGAGGTTTTCCACAAATATACAGACTGCAGCCTGGTATCTGCATTTTCAAAGCATGGAGATCTTATCAATGTTCAAAACAGGAAGACACCCTGGCTTCCCCAGTGATACAGCACAGGGTGGCATCCCATCCACACCCAGCTGCAGGAGGGGAAGTGGATGGTGAGTGTCCTGGGAGAACTAGGAGGGGATTCACAGCACAGGACAGAGCAGAGTCTTGCAGCTGGAAGAGGTCAAAGCACTTTGAGACTCATCTGCCAGGACACCTCTCTGCTGCATGAGCCAGGTCATGTCAGACCATGCAACAAGGGCTGCAGCTGGCTTGCTGGGGTGGGAAGATATGCTGGTTGTCATCATGTGCTGGTGTGTACTGGGCTACAATTTTTCTAGCCAAGCAGATGGAACTGCCATAGAGGTGAGAGCACCAAAGGGAGGTTAAGGCACTACAGCATCACATAAGCTACAGGCTTAGATTGTGGGGCAAAAAAAAAGATCTTAATTTACAGCCTAGACAGCCCCAGCCTAGACCCAGACTTATGGTGTGACATTTGGCAGGTATGTAGCCAACTGGAGACGAGGCCATGGCCTAAATGCTCCTCTGAAAGGAGGTAAGGCTTGTGCCTGTCAGCACAGACTGATCCAAGCACTTTGCTCCTCCTTATAGGAGCCTTGCTGAGGTGGGCATTCTGAAGAGCTGCACTCCATGGTCTGGGGCTTAGGGAGGAGTCAAGGTCACTCAAGTCCTTCAGTCTTCTCCTCCCAAAGAGATGATTCTTGGGAGGGAAAGGACACAAAAACAAATTTCCAGCAATGCTGGACATCCTGGTCAGATCTGCTATGGTGTTCAATTAATACTTCATGTCCCATGGGACCAGGTGTTACAAACTTGAAATTGTTGTGACAATTACCATATTCCTCCACAGAGAAAGAATGCCGAACTGTCTTCCCAGCAGCCTTCTGTGCCACCACCGTGTAGGTCCCTTGGATAGGTTCAGAGGTGAGGTTGAAGAGCAGCTGTATAAATCCCATCTCTAACTCTACGTTTGTCCACTGGTACAGACGATTTTTCTTTGGGTCCTACAGATAACATGATCACAAGGAGATTTTGAAAACGAGAGTCTGCAATGAGGTCTAGTGAAAGCAGTGAAGGGAGGGACAGCCCCTGTGTTTCAAGAGGCTGCACGCCAGGAACAGAGAGCACTAGCAGAGATTTGGGGGAAGTACATGGCAGAATGACAGAGGAGCTCTAAACTGGGCCTGGGCTCATGGTAGCCACCATATGAGTTAAAATTCTGTACAGCTGAATTAACGTAATGGACCAGCTTAATACAAAAAATAAACATGAGTCCTGTTGAGGCAACTTGTTTTCTCTGCCCAGGTTGAGGTGCAATAGATGTGAATGTGAATTAAATGTTTGTACATACCTCAATATATACCAATGGAATCTAGAAAAAGAAGAAAGGAAGCAGCATGTTTAGACAGAGTGCAAGCAACACAGTCAAATGACTAAGGCAATGACCACATTTCACGGTAAAAGCTAATCATCCAATGGGGTAAGGAAAAAAGTTCCTGGTATGGATCATCAGAGCATTTTGGGTGTGAGAAGAGGGGGACAATCCTTTGTCTCAGGCACAAAAGAAAGCCAAAATTACTAATTACAAACTGGATGATCTGCAGTGCTAATAAGAACAGGTGCACATTGTGGTAATGGCAGATTGCTCACTGTTTACACCAGCACTGTCCATTTGCAGTTTGTCAAACCTTTCCAAGAATTCAGAAGGCAGCCTTATGCAGAAATTTGACAACAGATCCTTCTAAAAAGATCTGAAGTGACCCAGAATTTTCACTGTTATCTCAGTGTACTGAGAGATCTCCCCAACAGAGACTATTTTTCCTCCCTTTACCCACATTTGACTTAAGGCAAAATAAGTTGAAAAACAATTATTATGCTTACCATTTCATTCACAGGTCGGAACTCTTCATCCAGAGAAACAATTCTGAACAGGACTGATGGAGAAAGATAGTGAGGTTCCACAGTGCAAGCAGTAACCAGAAAAATCAGTTGCAAAAACAAATGGTATAACAGACAACAGGGCTGTTCTCTTCTAAGGGAATTCCATTTACTAGAATGCTAGGTCATGCTAGAAGGTTACCCATCTACTATGGATATATGAATAAGAGGATGTTAAGAGCAAATCCACAGCAGTGTGAACATCTTACTGATCACGGGCATCACAATCTCATTAATCAGGACCAAAGTTAAATTTAAGTTGCCTTTGTCTACTTTGCAATGAGGCATTTTTATGCCAAAATTTACATGGGTCTTCTAATTTTGTTATAACTAGACTGATTTCCTAGGAAGGATTAATGCAAGCAAATTACTTCAGCACTTGGCTGCAAATTTGTGTTGGCTCTGGATGGAGAGGGAATTTTTAAGACATTTGTTTTTATCCAGGTCAAATTTAGGAGATCACTGGCCCAGAAGAAATAAATAGCTTACATAATTCCTTCTGTCTTCATTGAGCAAAACCAGCTGCTTCTTTGGAAGTTATTTCATGACTTAGTCTGAGTTTTGGCCCTGTTCTCTATAGAATAAATATCCAGTCTTACTCTGATTTTAATCAGATAATAATTTTTAGACCTCCTAACTGCATGGACCACAGCAACAAAGCCCACAGTGAGAGAGGGAGGTGCAGATATGTGCATGCATCTTAAGATTCCCCAAATTTTCCCTATATGGAGCAATAAAACATAAGTCTCAGCCATGAGGTTGCAGTTCTGACTCCCACTGAAAGCAACCCATATCTGGCCAGCATGATCCAACAGTTTTAGTACAAATGTTTGTTTCAAATGCAAATCTCCATCCATTTCCTGGTACCTGTCTGCCCAGGCTTGTAGATGGGTTTGTCTGTCTGGATGAAGACCAAGCTCTCAGAGTTCTGGACTGCCACTAATTTGCGGCTGCTGAACTGCAGCGTGGCTCCCGTCACCGTCACAGTGAGAAACATGACTGGTAACGGGACTCTTGATTTTGGAAGCTGGAAAGTAAGAAGGAAACGATGTAACTGACCATATTTAAAGGCTTCCTGAACTGAAATAGCTTTCATGAAATAAGAGCTCTAATATAATCCTGAAGGACCCAGCACAGAAGTGAGAGGAACTATAATCAGGAAAAAGAGACTGATTTTTATTTGTCTCTTATTCCTACCCATTCCTCCTCCTGTGCAGTGATTACGCAAGTATTAAGCAGCAAAGGAACTCCTAGCCCTAGCACACAATCTTTCAAAATTCTTACTACCCTGGCCAAACCTTTCTATCCTTTTCCCTTTGACATCCACATACAGAATGGAAGAGTCTGTCTCCTCTTTCAGGTTATGTCCCTAGTCCTCGCAGAACATTTCCTTTTCAAACCAAACATCTATACCTCTCTTTCACAAGTGACCAAGTCAGTCTTCAGCCTACATCTGACAAACCAATACAAAAATGCCAACCTTTTCAGTGTCCTGAATACCAGTTCTTCACTCTTTAGGCCAAAGACATAATCCAGGCTCTGAGATAAATGATCAGGTTTCCTAGTTGCCTACAACCCACTATAGTCCCTGGGGCTTTCAATTACATTAAATTAAAAATTTCCTGCTTTGCTGTTTTGATTTTTTTTTTTCAGATACAGGCAATCACAGCTCTATGTTCTTAAATTAATCCAGTATCTGAGTATCTAAGGTCCAAAAGCTCTACTACAATTTGAAGGCACTTAAGTGACGAGTTGAGGACATTGAAGGATGATGCAGAAAGCCATTTCACTAGACAGCCATCAGGAGTATCAAGATACTAAACCCACATTCTTCTCCTGTCCTAGAAAGGGGGTGGCTTTCTAGGATTCAGCATCTCACAGTCATTTAGCATACTAAGGAGATCTCAGCAGTAAGAGGGTGTTGAGGATGGACATGAACACACCTTTAGCCAAGAGGTAAGTGAACATCTACACAGTGTTACTCTGGTCATTACTTCTCGGTGCCTTTACATTTTATGCCTGGCACAAAGAGATCATCCCACAGGGATGAGATACTCACAGAGAAAGGGATGCAGGTGAACACATCTTTCTCTGACACCACATCATCAATCAAGCTCCTGTTCTCCCCTAGGTACTCGAGTGTGGCACTCAGTCAGCTGGACACAGACTTTCTCTTGAGACTCCGTGTGTATCAGAAAGGGCACCAGCACCAGGTACTGCCTAGGAACAAGGGAGAATGATAGGTCAGAGGAGCAGGAACAGGTAACAGGAGCTGGGTATAAAGAACAAACAAACCAATCTGATGAGTACAGCTTTCGCCGCACAGGGAGAAGGTTGCATTTTCTAAGAGTGTAACGATTTCCAGCACATCTGTAGCAGCAGGGGAAAGCAGAGAGGCTGGTCTCAAATGTAAAATACCAGAGGAAATCCTCCACTCAAACATCTGGAAAGGATGTGTTTTTCTATGTTCTGGCACAACAGCAGCATGTCCTTCTGGGATCCTGAATAAAGGGGGGAACTCAGTTATCACCTTTGCTAGACACTGTTGGTAACATTCAGGAGCCACACAAATGTCAGTACCCAATGAATAAATTCTATTGACTGCACACTGTGAAGAGTCTGTAGCATTACTCTCATTATTCGTGGAGATTCAAAAACTGCCACAGCGTGGTGCCAGATCTTAAGCAAAAGCACAAACCAGTTTCAGGTTTTCAGGGAAGCAAGCCCCTCTGTCTCAGCTCAACAGGGGATCCCTGCTCATCACTGCACAGCCTCTTTCCTTCCCAGTGTGGCAACGTGCCAGCAGTTTGGGTGCCCAGCACTGCATCTGGGAATCAAGCCCAATGCACCTAATGCTAACCGTGCTCCCATTTTGGTGGATGAGGACTGGCCTCCAGTCCTCCACTGGGCATACTCAGAGCAGCGAGCAGATGGGAGAAGAGCCCTCAATACCTAAGCAGTAAGGCAAGGCATTTCCTTTAGCAGTAGCAGAGGCTCTGTTTTGTCCACCCCTCGGTCTGCCCGGATCAAGCTCTGGCCCCTCAGATCCCACTGTCTGTTTCCCCTGCCTTTGATGAAAGCACTACAGCACAGCCTTGCTCAGAAATTCCCCTGCACCCCTTGCAGCTCTGTGATGGGTGAGGTGCCCCGTGTTTGCAGGGGAGGAACAGACATTGCCAAAAAGCCAAAGGAGAAAGTCTTTGGGATGTCAGGACCCTCCATGTGCTGTTCCTACCACACATGTACACAAGTGCACACAACACAAATGCCCTTCACATACAAATGGGGCAAAAGGGGGTGAAGGAGGGAGGCAAGACAATATACCCTCACAGACCTGGATGGTCACAGTCTTACAGTGTCACATTACCCTGGATGAGAAGAGAATTTTCATTCCATTGTCTGAGCTGAAAAATGTGAATTAAAAAATAAAGCCATTTCCAAGCATGCCAGATGAGCTATTTGTTCTTTTTCTTTTCATTATCATCTAAAAAAGCCACTCGCAACTCCTCGGTATTTCAACCTGGGAGTAGGACAGTCAACCCAAAATTACATTTATGAAAAGTTATCTTTCAAAAGAACTAAATTTGTGCATAAAATTTTGTTGAAATCCTGTCAATACCCTGAAGTTTTACTGAAATCTCAGTTTCAAAGCTTGTTTTGCATCTCTCTCAAGCATTAGAGTTCCTGTTTGTAGAAGGCATTTTACCCAGCCCTGGTGTCTTTATTCCTGGATAGAAAAAGTTAGAAGAGAGGGGACAAAGAAATAGACACAGGAATACAACCAGGGTCTCCTGCCTGCCCAGAGACCCCCCAGCATAGCTTACGGCTCTGTGATGGGTGAGGTGTCTCCCGGAAGGAAGAGGAGGAGGAGGAAGATGCTTGATTTGATAAGCAGCCCGTTCTTCCCCATGGTACAGAGCAGGACGTGGAGAGGCAAGCAGACACTCAGTGCTGCTTCTACTCCCCCTCTGCTCTGCCAGTCAACCCCTTTATACTCTCCTCTGCAAACAGCCCAGGGGCTGGAGGAGATAAGGGCTGGGGGCCAGGGCCCATCCGGAAACAGGGAGAGGCAGCAAGGAGGAGCTGGAACTAGCAGCTCCAAGTCTGGGCAGAAGGCCAGTGTTGGGGGAGAGAGGGAGGGGAGGGTTCCCGGCAGGCCAGAGCTGTGTCTCTTGGGGCAGGACAGAGGCAGTGGAAGAGGAAAGGTTGTAGCTAAGGAAAGAAGGGCTAACAGCGGAGCCTGAGGGGAGGCCTTCATTTCTGGCAGGGCTCTCTCTGTGGAGCTGGACATGGCACTGGTCATGGAGGTTGTTGGAACAGCAGGAGCTGCTTGATTTCCTTCAAACTGGGAGCAGGAGACTGAGCTAGGATTTGGGAAACAAGCATGGGTGTGTCTAACTCCCATTAACAGGTTGTGAAAACAGGGAATGGAACTGGAAAAACCTTCCCTCTCCCCCCACGCAGTTCCCTGCTGCTCTCTGTTCCAGGCCACATCAAATCTAATGCCAGGAAAAGAGGCCAGAAAGTGCCTGGAAAACCAAGTCAACTGAAATGATCTGGCCTTCACCCTGACAGAAACAGGGACAGTGACATGACGGGAAGCTGCCAAAAGTTCAACCCATTAACAGCATGTAACACATTAACCAGCTGCCCAGAGCAGCAACTACTCTCACATATATGGCCTGGGTCTTTCTTTCTACTGGCTCTTGTTCCAGGTCAAGTTATTGGTACATCTATATCACATTATTGCTGTTTGATGGAGTCATCCTGGTTTAGTTAAGTGCATATTCATGTAATGCAATGTGATGGGCAATGTTGTACCACAGAGGGAAATGGGGGCGGTTTTTAGACCACTTGGTCTGCAGCAGGAGGATCAATAGCTCTGGTAATTATTACCCTTGCAAGCAGCAGTTGAATATCTGTCTTACTTATAGTCCTAATGCAAACTCCAAAGAATGGAGATCTCTGTTGGAGGATGTAAAGCTTAATTTTCAGATTAAAAAGTGTGCAGGATAAAATGATTTTCTGTCTGTCTTACCCTTCTTCTAATATAATCATCAAAACTTTGGTAAGCTCAGGAACTCTGGAGCTAAGAAATCCAAGTGCAGTGCAGCAACAAACCTTCATTATAGACCTCATCCTACCCTGCAGAGACCTGCATAGGAAAAAAGAGGATAGTAGTGCATGTGCAATTTCCTTGGGGACTGCGCAAAAGACAGCCCGGATTCGGGCTCTTCCTTCTGCATCTGATACCTAAAGATTGCTTTGCTTGCCCAAAAGAAATGTAACCCAGTAAAGTCTGCCTCACCCACAGAGAAGAGGATTTGTGCATATGGGCTGGTCAAAGCCTTTTTGAAGATGACAATTTACAGTGGTGAAGGTCAGGAGCTGAATTGATGGAACACAAACCCGACAGGACAAGATGCAGAACTGCACATGGCAGAGCTCCCAGAGCTCCCAAGCCAGCTCCTGATCATTAGGACCTTGGTCAAAAATGTGCTCTGTAGCCAAAAAATCAAGAGAAATGTTTTCAATACATTCAAGCACTAGGCAAGCTCAGAGACATGCTCATCTCACCTACGTATCACAATAATAAGAGAAACTGTCTCTTCGGTGCTGTTCTCTGGTAAGGTAACTGGTAGGTTTCCTTCTACAGATGCTACCACCATTTTGACAAAGCAAGCAAAATGTTCAGCATTATTTCATAGTGTCTGGCAACTTTCTGGGAGTGAGGAACTGTCTTTTGATAGTTGAATGGACTCTGGCACAGATAAAATGACTTACTCAAAGTAACCCAGACAACCCAAGATGAAAACTTAAGTTTTGACCTCCTACTACACTGCAGTTTTCCCCAGGTCTGCCTGTTGCAGTCATGGTTATTGAAAAGCAGACCCACCCTTGCTGTAAAACATTCTCACCTGAGACTCTCATCTCAGTGAACTCTATATGAGGCTCAGTAGACATCCACTTAGCTAAGCATGCTAAGATCTGTACTTTTGTCTTTATCCACCTTGACACCTTCATGTTAAGCATCCTGTTAAGCAGATGGGAAATAATACCACTGGTAGCTGGTAAGGATTTCCTGCAATTATAATAAAAATATGAAGTAATGAATAGAATATGTAGTCTGAATTGAAATGCTGAAGTTGGTTATTGTGTTTCTATGATTGTAGGAATAAGATTTCTCCTCGGCCTTCTCTGCTTTACAATAAACCATCCCAGCTTTCTCAGCCTCTCTGCACAAATGAGATGCTCCAGTCCTTTCATCATATTTGTGGCCCTGTGTTAGACTCTCCAGTCAGTATGTCCATGTCTCTCTTGTACTGAACAGTCTAGAAGTGAAGACAGTGCTCCCAAATATTCACAGTGTTTTTGTGGCATTCAAACTCTGAATCTGTCTCTGCTCTATTTGAACTGAAAGATCATCACATTAAGGTTTGTCTACTGCTTCCTCTATCTGCAGTATGAAAAGGCAGAGGTGGGGAGGAAAACAGGTTCTTGGTGGATTAAATAATTACACAGCATTATCTGTATTCCTTTGACTCCAGAAGTCCGGTCTCTTGACTAGCTTGGTTAAACCTGCCTAATTCCTTCCAACAGAGAGAAGAAATGGCACAGGTACACACTTTTGGTCTGGTGCAGTCAGTCCTGGAGATTTATTTTCACTGCTGGATTTACCGAAGCTGCAGTTTCTTTTCACCGTCTTCTCTCCCACTCATACCACTGGGATGCAAAAGGAGAAGTTGCCACTGGGAGAACTATGTTTATATATTTCTGTCAATGAACAGCAGGCCTCATTTTCCTGGTCCTTCTGATATTAGACAATGGAGATGCAGGGAATGGAAATGAAATCTGATACTTAAAAGTGAGAGAAAATGACTATGTCCCCCTCAGAGGTCTGAAGACACCTGTTGTGACAAAGATTTTATTTGCCCTTATAGAATAAATCAGGGAAAGAGTAGACCAGTGAATATGTCCCAGGTCTCATCTGGTCACAAACAGCAGTAATCCAGCACTTGTGGTCTGAGAATAGATTTTCTATTGCTGAGAGTAATTCACCCTTATGGACAACAAACCTGCCCTTGCAAAACACTTTAGTGAAGGTATGGAAAAGACAAGTGAGACTTGCTCTTTTGTGAAGCTTCACTTTGCAGGACAACAATCAACTCATACCACTGATGAGGTTGCTGTGACATGAAACAGCACATGGGATTTATCTAACTGTTTTTTCACAGATCCATGGAGCCCGAACTTCACAGCTGGAGGCATGAAACTGATCTTGCATCAGGACAGCACAATTTTGCACAGGGCTGTTAGAGTGGACCCTGCAAGAGACATGGAACAGTAGTGAGAATGAAAGAAAATACTTAGATTGTCTCCTGGAGACAAGAAATTTAAAACATCTGATTTTGAAGGGTGTAGCCCAGAGGAAGAGAAACAACCTGACCTCCAAAAGGCAGCTGTTAGAAAATAAAACATACCCTAAAGAACCTATCTACCTGCCACAGCTAAGTAATTTTGGCATCATAGAACCCAGATCAGAACCAAACATAGACACAATTCCCAGAAGTGGCAGTGACATCCACCAGTATGTGAGTGGCAGTGGTGAAAATTTCACAGAATGATCACTGCCTTCAAGGAGCTTGTAGGAACAGAAAGCTGGATTTATTCAGGGAACTAAGTCAAGTGCTCAGAGTACTGACCTCTTGACAGTGAGATCTTGGGCAAGTTTTCCTTGCTGGAGAGGCTTTAGAAACTAACTCATTGCCTTAACTGCCATAAAAAGGAAAGGGCCAGGCAAAGTCACTGGATAAAAACATGTTTTCCCTCACAGAAAACACTGGCTTTTGTCCAAGTAAAGACTGAGATAAAATAAAGGTTCTGACTTAGGTTGGCACCAGTAGAGCAGGAAAGGGCTGGGTCCTTGCACACAGTGACACCAGCATTCAACAGAATGGGTGCAAGGTGGGTAAACACAGTAAAGCCATATGCCTTTCTGACCAAGTATCTGTGTGCTGCTGCAGGTAAATAAAGTCCTTGGTCTGAGCAGCTGGAGGGAAGTAGAGAGTGAGATACTAACACTTGACCTGCTTTTCACAGGTACATGCCCTAACAAGATGCAGGGCAGTGAAAAGTAAACCCTGTTGAGCTTAGTGCAGTACAGGTGACAGGAAGAAGAAAATCTGCCCAGGAAGAAAGCTCCTGACATCTGGAGGAGGAACTCTGGGTGTTCTGGAACACCAGGCAATCTGAATAAGCACTATTGTTTTTAAAACAGAATGAAACTCACTTGGCATCACTTAATACAGAGCCATCCTCCCAAATCCATCCAGAGCTTGCACTGTTCCTCAGTCCAATCCAAAAATATTTTGCTTGAATACGCTTGAACAAATCCTACAAATGATGATGAATTACAAAGTGACTAATGAAAGCCAGCCTGAAAATGGAGATAAGGATAAGTAAAGAGAACAGAGAGCAAGATACATCCCTTCACCTCACTGTTCCTTAAGTGACTGACAATACTGCTTCCCCACACTTGCTAATGACAGGGCCAGAAGTTGGACTCAATGATCCTGATGGATGCCTTCCTACTCTGCATATTCTGTGATTCTATAATTCTATGACTCTATGAACTGCACCCCAGTCTCCTGGAGTTTCCTGCACAGAGCTTTGTGTAGGAAGGTATGCTATTAATATTAGTATTAACACCCTATTATACAGCTAAGTAGCAAGCTAATATGAAGTATTAACAATTAAAGGTAAAATCAGGGCTGGGTAGGGCAAGAAGTGCAGCACTGACAGATATGTGTAATAAACCCAGTACGGAAGCTCTTTATATTCCACGCACATTTTCCTCCTATGTGTTTCCAGTGTTCATTTCCTTTTAGCTAACTTCTAACCCCTGATTAATGTTAAAAGCTGAAGCCTGCAACAGAAATTCAGCCTTGAAGTAAATTCCCCAACCCTGCTCCCCACAAAAAAGACAAATCCAGGAGAGGTGAATTTGTCTTGTCCATCTTTGCAACCAAAGAACAGCAAGCTTTCAGGGGTATGGTTGGGTTCCATCC